TTATTTATTTTTTCTTTTAGATACAGGGTCTCACTCTGCTGCCCAGGCTGGAGGGCAGTGGCACAATCATAACTCATTGCAGCACAATCATAACTCAAACTCCTGGGCTCAAGGGATCCTCCTGTCTCAGCTATAGGCGCACACCACCATGCCCAGCTGGCAATGTTACTTACTGTATTCAAGTCACTTATCCATACAGTTTTCCAAAAACCTTTTGTGATGACTTTATAAAGAACACAAAGAGATTTAAACATAAACACACACAGAGAAAAATACATAGTTCAGGAACGTAGAAATAAATATGCTGATGTTGAGGGTAAGTGAATATAAGTGCTAGAAGGAATATCACATTGTGTGCTGAGCAGCCTGGAAGCCAAGGAGAAGAGGAAAAACATAATCAGTTGGAAAGACAGTGTGGTATAGAAAGAGCCACACATAGTGTGGCAAAGAAGCAGAACTGAGTATAAATCCAGGGAAACTTGGGCAAGTTAGATGCCCTTTCTGCATGTCTCAACTTCCTTATCTGGGAAAAAAGGAGAAGAATACAACCTACCCTGCAGGGTTTGTCAGGGAGGCCCAAGCACACACTGCATGGTGCAAAGTATACAAATAATACATGTTTTCCTTCCCCACTTTCCTTTTCATTATAAAAGGAAAAAACAACCTAGTTTCCCCAGGGGAAGGCAAAGTTTGCCTGGCCCTAAATTCTAAAAGAAATTTTTAATGTGGGTCACTGTAAGAAGCCTATAACAACAATGGGAAAAATGCCTCAGATTATGGTTTTAGAGTAAACCAGATAAGGATTTGCCATGGCTCTATTTGAAAACATTCCAGGGTACCCAGTAAAAGCTTAACAAACATCAACCAAATGACCTACAGGGAAGCTGTGCAAAGACCACTTAGCTGCCTCTGTGACTAGAGGAAGGAAGTCCTGTTAAGCAGCTTTCAGGGTGGCTATCTGCAAAGGGATTGATCTCATGTAAGCAAAGCTGAGAAGTGGCATACAAGCACCCAATGGCTCGCTGTGGACTGACGTTGTAGTCATAAGCAGAAGCTCCTCCTGCCTACGGCCAAAGACACTGGACCAATACCACTACCCTTACAATAAAGAGCACACACCCCAGCATCTTTTCCAAAAACAGCAAGGAAGTGATCTCAAAGTACCAGACGTTTCCTCTGCTAATCTCTAAAGATAACTGCACATCCTCCATGACTGGCTCTTCTTGAAGACCAAGTTGGAAAGACTTTAATTGGATAGACTGGTTAGGAAAGCATCTATCTGCCTGTTGTTAAAACAGGCCTCTAGACACGAAGGAAGGCCAACAGGTCCCCATAACAGAGACTGTATAAGCAATCGAATTTGGACAAGAAGGGCTCTCAGTGGTCATCTAGGCCAACCCCTCTCCCTGTTTTCCTGAGTGCCTTATTATGCAGTGAAGCATTAGGGATGCAGAAAAACGTGATACAGCACCAACCGCCCAGGAGCTCACAGTCTAGTGGGGGGCACATGTAAACAGATAAGGGCCATTCTCTGTGACAGGCAAGTCAGACTAGGGTGGTACAAAAATCAGAAAGGGGACCAATTCCACCTGCAAAGGCCAAGCCTGGGTCTCAACCAGTGAAGAGTTGAAGGCACCTGGGGAGAGGGAGGGCATGGGAGCACCATGCTTTGAAAGCCTCTAGGTAGCCTGAAAATATGAATAAAATGGTATAAAAGGAGGCAGAAAAGGTAGACAGGACTCAGATCCCAAGGGGCCTTAGATACACAGAGGAATTCTCTTTCAGCTTTCATAAGGTGCAACCACAACCAAGAGAAACCAAGTGACTCAGTTAAGCTCCTGTAGCAAGTTACGGGAAAAGCTAACCCTGGAACACCAGTCTCTTGACTCCAGAAGTCCGCTTCTCTCCCCTACTGCCTCCCACCCGTGAGCAGCTGGGGAAGGCCAGGAGAGAGAACGGCCCATTCAACACTCACCACCCAGAGAACCTCGAGTCTGTGTCTGGCCATCTTCACAGCAGAGGATGTACTGTCTTGTTCACTTGGCAAGCCACTCCTTACAAGAAAAACAGCCCTTCCTAACCCATTGTGTTTCTTTCTGCAGTGGGAGAGGGCTGGAAGTTCATTCCAACCACAGAATACAGTCTCCTCATGGAAGGAAAATAATTTAACAGCAACAGTCTACGAATCAGACAAGCTAGGGTCCTGGAGACAAGCCTTGAAGGGGGCTTCTGCTCCACGGAGACACTGACCAGGGCAGGGGACCAGAGATGAATCAACTCCAGCCCAGGAGTCCACCGTCCGGCAGGGGAGATAAGGCAGATGGAAAAGTAACTATTAAATAAGGCAGACGGTGGTAAGAGTCACACAGGAGATACAGATAACAGGTAGTGGGAATTCAGAGCCGAGAGGAGTCTGGGGGATGTGTGTTAGGGGAGATTCAGACGAAGGGGAACACTTGCTGTCTCCCCTCCAGAAGTAGGCGGGCGTCTATCCTAGCAGCTCTGGTGACTCCCAGATGGGGGCCGGGGAGAGAGCTGGTCGTGGACAAAGACAGATGTTCCAGTGAGGTCTCCTTTGAAGAATCCAGACTCTGGGTGGGGGAGGCAGGTGTGCCGGGGTGTTTGGAGAGGTGCCCAGCCCACACTTCAGAGGGAGGGAGAGAAGTGCGGGATGTCTCTGCAGGAGGAAGTCGACGGAAGTGGGAAAAGGCTGGAGGGCTTGCCTTGAAATGACATTTGCCCTGCACGGGCTGTGTTCACCTGGAATGGCCGTTTGGGATTTCTTGGGGGGAGTCAGTGCACACTGGGGCGGGGGACACTGAACTTTCCTTCTCCCCAAGCCCCCCATCAGCCCTGCCACGGATAAGAAAGGCGGCGGGGTGGGAAGAAGACAGAGCCGGCACCCCATTACAACAGGAAAGGGCACTGAGGATGGAGACGGGCCACACCCCGACCTTGGGCCCCCGACCCGCTGCGGCCACAGCCCGGGCCTGGAGACGTCCGGCAGAGGCGGGAAGCAGAGAAGGCGGGCCCGGGGCTCACCTCCGCTTCCTCCCGACAGCCCCTTCCTCGCCCGGGCACCAGCACTGTACGTGCCTGCCCCCGACCGCTGTGACACTTGTCCCTGGCGGGGGTCCCCCACGCGGCCACGACCGACGGAAATTCGGAAATCAGCGTTTCGGGGACGAATCCGGGGCGGGCGACTCACTGAGACCAGGCTCGGACGGTCTCCGGAGCGGGGTTCCCGCACGCCACACCCTCCTCCCTGCCCGGGTCTCCGCTCTTCCCTCCCGCCTCGGCGGCTCCGCGGGCCAGCGGGCCGGGGCCTCTCCGCGAGCCGCCGCCCCAGGTCCCCAGGTCCCCGGCCGGCGCCCGGCACTGCGGGACTCGCCCGCGGGCCTGGGGAGCGGCTGCCCGGACTCACTCACCCCGCTCGGCTCGGCTGCGGGCTCCGTCCTCTTCGGCCCGGGATGGGCCGCCGCCACCTTACGCCGCTTCACGGGGAGCGCCCGCCCCGCGGCCCCGGCCCGGCCGGCTGCGCCCCGCGCGCCCCCGCCGCCTGCTGGCCCCGGGCGAGCGGCAGGGCCCGGGCGGGCATTGCTCCCGGGCGTCGCGGGCGGGCGGCGGCGGCGGCGCACGTGCTGACAGGCGGCTCTCGCTGAGGCGGCCGCGGGCTGAGGAGGAAGCGCCGAGCGGGCGGGCTGCCGGGGCCGGCTGGACAGCTCTACGCCGCGGCGCCGCCGTACCCCGCGCGCCCCAGCTGCCGCTGCTGCCCGCGCGCGCCGGGCCGGGCTCGCATTCCCTCAGTGGCGGCGGCGCCTCCTCAGGCCGCGCGGGGGAGCGGCGGCGGCGGCGGCGGCGGCGGGCGCGCGTCCCTGCGGAGTCCCGGCCCGGCCCCGCCGCCTCCGCCGGAAGAAACCTCTCCGATTCGGGCAGCCCGCCTGGCTCTTCAGCCCCGCCGCGGCGCCCCCGCTCCTCCCCGGCTCGCCCGTGTCCGCAGGCCCCGGGACTGGACTCGGGGGCGGCGGCGCGGGTCCCCACCCCGGCTCTTCGCCCACCGTCCGCAGCAGCCGAGCGCACTCGGAGGCGGGAACCGGCCGACTTGAGGTCACTGTGACTCTTAAAACAGCCTCATTTTAAAAAATGAAGTTTCTTAGGAGTGAAATGGCAAACCAGGGGGCAGAGCGCGGCGGGCAGCTCACCGAAGCCCAGCCCCAGGCGTAATGCTCGCCACACGCCGGGTCCGCGCTCTCCCCTCAGGAACCCGGGGCCGCGGCCCAGGGAACGGCAGAGCCGGGAGCGCAGCCACCTCGGTCCCCACCTCAGGGAGGAGCTGGAATAGAGTCACGAACAGCTTCATCCCGAAGATCCGGCACGACAGGGCTCTCTAATGTGAACACCAGAGCACCGGGAGGGCGCCTGGTGACATTCCTTAGAAACATGAGGTGTTTGTTAGGTTCAGCCAGGGTGGACTTGTCTGGCAAAATCTGAAGTCATGGAACTAAACAGGGCACACCTAAAACTTAGTGATGGGAGACCCATCCCTACTATCACCTTATAAGGCAGAGGAGACTGCAGTGCTCCCCTGGAGGGGCGAGGACAAGCTAAAATTAAGTCGGCGGAGATGCCCCCAGATGGAGCCGGAGGCCGAGCCCCTGGCGGCTGCTCACCTCCTGGGGTCATGGCAGAACCCAGCGGCACAGGCCAGGAAAGCCATCGTTCCCGACTCGCCTCCAGATGCCCCTGACCATGACCACGCCGAGGCGGGCCAAGGCGTCCCATCATCACCTAGAACCCCTCAACTCTTTCCCGCCACTAAGAGGTACCCTAGGATCCATCCAGAAAGATCTGCGGAGCCCACAGAGGGAACTGTGCTCCTGGATAGACACCCCTTAATCCGTAACTCGAGGACCTCTCTATGCCTGGGACTTCACATCACAACCAACCTGCTCCCGCAGCCAGCCAGCGGGAATAAACACACGAAGGCCACACGCCAGTTTACAGCCTCGAGTATTTATTGAGTGCCTATGGTGCAAGAGAGAGAGATGGTCCCTGCTCCCGCGGAGCTCACAGCCTGGTGACTCTAGGATCTGCCTAGATTCAGAGACGACTGCAGCAAGCGCTTGTCTACCCACCAGCAGCACGGTGAAAAGCACATGTTTCACATTATCGGTCACTGTTACAGTGAAATTGTTAGATGTGAGGAAAAATTATCCTTGAAATCTGTAGTCCTAGAGATGACATGGTATATAATGTCCAGCAAATGCACATTTATGGCTTTATTCCTCACATATCTGAGGGGTCTATGGAAATAAAGCACAAATCAGGCAGAAAAGACTTGGTAACTCACACAGCTCCTAAGAATACTGGGGTAGTTTATTATCAAACTACCACAGAACTCTTGGCAGGGCAGGAAACTATTTCCAGCAAAATTTGTGCAATATAGTGGGTTTAATCAAACCTGAAACTGTCAGCCATTTACCTGTCCCTCATGACAGGTAAATATAATCTACCTGTATGAATCCTAAAAGGCTACAGGTATGCATTTATTTTTTAAAGCTTCTTAAAGACTCATAGCACAAGTGACACACTGAAATCCAGCAAAAACTTCTGAGATCTCTTAAAATTAAAGTGACAAGTGCCTGCTTTTACTACATATGTAGGTGCAAAGTTCAGAATTCAAACACCATCCAGCAAAGCACGTGGCTTTTCTGGGTTAGAAGGGGACACTTTCTGGTTGGCTATCACAGACTAAGTCCTAGGCTCCACGTACATCTCCTAATGCCCACTGGGAGGCACTTCCTATGTGTGGTTCTGCTCACAGACCATCACCTTTAGAAGGGGCAATTATTTGGAGGATACTGGCAATAACTTTTAGGAAAACAGAACACCTATATCTATATCAAATAACCCCCAAGTCACCAATTAAGACCAAAGTGCTTTCTGAACTTACACTTGACAGGTTTTTAAAGTTTTTGATCCTTAAAAGAAAAACCACACACACCAGAGGGAAGGCTCAATTTAAACTCCAAAAAAAGTTTGTTTTTTGCAAAGGATGAAGAGAACATCTTAGACCAGCAAACAGAAATGTCAGTCCAAGGCAGTTTTTAAGTCAACTACTTGGGACATAATCTACTTTATTTTAAAAAGTATGCTACCTCAAGGCTGGGCTCGGTGGCTCACGCCTGTAATCCCAACATTTTGGGAGGCCAAGGTGGGCGGATCATTTGAGGTCAGGAATTCAAGACTGGCCAACATGGTGAGAACCTGTCTCTACTGAAAATACAAAAATTAGCTGGGCATGGTGTTGCACATCTGTAATCCCAGATACTGGGGAGGCTGAGGCAGGAGAATGGCTTGAACCAGGGAGACAGGTTGCACTTAGCCAAGATTGCACCACTGCACTCCAGCCTAGGCAACAGATAGAGCTAGACTTTATCTCAAAAAAAAAAAAAAAAGGGGTATGCTCCCTCAAAACCTATTAACTCAATGAATGTGAAATGTAGTATTTCTTGAGCACTTACTAAGTACCAGGCACTTTACAAAAGTTTCCTTAATGAAAGGAGTTTTCTTATTTCATCTTACAGCTGAGGAAGGCAGGCCTGTGCTAGGATGTGACCCAGGTCTCTCTGGCTCCAAGTCTCTCCTCTCTTGTCTCGAGCCCAGCTCTGCACAGTCCTAGCTGTGCACTTAAGCTATATCTGCTGCTGCTTCAGTTGGAAAAGTCCTTCAGTCCCAAAGGCCATTTCCATACCTCAGGAGTAGCTCCTGCAAACAGGCTTAAATATGGAAAGGAAGGAGGCAGATCCAGGCATCAGGAGAGAGTTCACTTTCTATTTGCATTTTAGAAGGCACTTCCCAGAAGTGGCAGATTTGCTTAGGTTTTTTTTTTTTTTTTTTTTTTTTACTATTAATACCTGCAGCACAGCCCCAAACCAACAACAAAAATAGTTTACTTCCCTGGAATAATAGCTGCTATTTCAAACTGCCATCTTTCCTACTTTTGAGTGTTTTTTTTTTCAGTTGAGTGTTCGTAAGATAAGCATTACCAAAGGGAAAGACAGCAGAAAGAATTTTCCTTGGTTTTCCTCTTCACAGCTATGAAGAAAAAATAAACTTTTTTAAAATAAGTGACTGATAGTTCCAATCTATTACACACTTCAAATATCAAAGCATATGCTTTCTGAGAGAGAGGCGCAGAAGGTGTTTTGATGGAGCTTAACGCCTTTTTTGGAATAAGCCAATATAGGCTACTAAGAAGATAATTCCTTTGCAAGATAAAACTATCATCTCTTCTGAAATGGCATTTTTTTTTTTATTCTTAAGAATGTAGTAGACTTTACAATAAAAGTAGAGAACAAGGGAATATCCTAAAAATTGTTTTTGTCATGTCCAGGAACATATTAAAGCTGGTCTTACTAGGTCCTGACACGAGCTGTACCAGAGCTTTATTAAAATGAATGTTTTTTTAACCATGACTAGACTTTTTTTTTAAGGCTAGAAAACCAAGAATAAAGAATACCAAGAATAGACTGGGTATAGTGGCTTATGCCTGTAATCCCAGCACTTTGGGGGACCAAGATGGGTGGATCACATGAGGTCAGGAGTTTGAGACCAGACTGGCTAACATGGTGAAACCCTATCTCTACTAAAAAAAAAAAAATACACACACACACACACACACACACACACAATTATCTTGGCGTGGTGGGAGGTGCCTATAATCCCAGCTACTCAGGAGGCTGAGGCAGGAGAATTGCTTGAACCCAAGAGGCAGAGGTTGCAGTGAGCTGAGGTTGCTCTATTGCACTCCAGCCTGGGCAACAAGGGCAAAACTCTGTCTTAAAAAAATAAATAAATAAAGGCACTTGATTCTAATTATAAGTAATTTTGATTAGCCTGAAGTCTTCAAAAGTTGCAAGAGTAGGGAGCAAAGACAGGCTGCCCTCCTTGCTAAGAAGGGAGCAGGGCTGTGGTGAAACTCAGGTGAAGGGCACTCAAAGATCATTTGAGATCCTGCTTGGAATAACTGAGATGGCTTGGTTCAGTCTAATCATTTATTATTAAGAGCCACATAAGAAGGAAAAGCTCAAAAGCAAACCAAAATTTAAAACATGAGCATGTTTAGTATGAATTCACTTTGAAAGTTTGGATGAATTTGTTTATCAACATGTACTGAGCTGGAATGAATATGTGGGGCACTGGTGTTCTTCCAACTGGCTGCCAAAAAGTTTATGGCTACACAGCTCCAATTTAACCAGCAGTCCCAACACAAACCTGCCAAAGCTCCTGGATCAGAGGAGAGCCTCCTGCCCACACACTACTTCTGAGAGCCAGTGGCTACCAGAGGCAGTGGGCTGGGGCCCTCTGCAAAGCCAAGGGGAAGGCACCAGGCTCCATCCAGACACACTCCCTGTCCATTAACAAACAGAGTAGATTGTGATGATCTAAAGCATAGTGTTCTTACAGCACCTACAATGGAAGTATTTGTTTCTCTTTATGGCCAGGGTGAAAGGGCCTGGAAAGGGGTGAACATGTCCAGATGACAACTCTGACGGACAGCTGAAGTCATGCATGCTAAGAAAACCAGGCTGCTCTCTTAATCCCTCACAGGGTGGTGGGCTTGTATTTCAAAGGGTTTATCTGTCCATTTATTGTCCAGGGTGGGATACAAGTTAATTCAGAACAATGGCCAGAGAGCTATATGCCTCTCCAATTGTTTAACTTTTTTAGAAAGATAAAATTAGAGAATTACAATCCCTCTCATTTTTCTTATGAACAATAAAGTTTAAAGAAAACAAAATAAGTTACATTCACAGTTTTCAAACCTTTCCAATAGTCCATTATTACTATGCTGACTGACATTCACTCTAAGACGTGTTTCAAATAGGAATCCCATTATCATTTTTTAAAAACCTCAACACAACTGAAATCTAAGATACACTGTAATTGTTTTTTTATGGATTCAACATCTAATAGTCTATCATTACGGACGCTATTAAGCTTTATTTTTAAAAAATGAACTGTATTTACAATGTAGAACAAGTTTATAAAATTGGTGTGCAAAGTTAATTGTAAAAGGATAACACTATTTGTTTAGAAACAAGCTGCCTCCCCTGCTTACATTTTCTTGTTGATATAAATTGGAGACATATACTATTTAAAAATAATACTTTTTAAATAGTAAAATATACAAGAGATTCCTGAGCATAACAAAAATATCTTGAAAATATGTGGCCATTTGAAGTATAAAATAGCAAGTGTAAGAATAGCATGATTGTAAAACTACTGTTTGAAGGCCTATAAACAGTACAAAATAGTTTGCCTTTTCTGACTGCATAATTATACATTAGTGCAAACAAAAACATCTCAAAATTTAATGGCTACAGATCTCAAAGATTTGCAGAGGTGCGCAAAACATGGAATTTCTTTAGCGTCATGCGAACTGAACCCAGTTCTCGGTTAATCTTTTCCAAACGATCTTCCAAGGCTTCCTAGATGAAAACAATGGGAAAAGTTTAATTAGAATTCTTCATCAAGTCTATAATCACTACCAAACTGACCTTTCTTTTAGCAAAAGAGCAAGTATAAACATTAAAATTAAAATTATTTTTTGCTTTCAACACAAATCATCTTATGATTTCTTTTCAACTGAACAATACAAATTAGCTTTTCAACCATTCAAAATAACTGCTGCACTTTAAAGTATTCTCAATATGTTTGGCACAAGGAGTATGTGGAAATTCTAGTAATAGCAATACAACCAACTGGAAGGGGATAATTCTTTGGCTCTGCTGAAGTGAGAACAGTACAAGAGAAGCCCAGGAGGGGCTTCACACATTTCACCAGAAGAAACGGACACATCTGATCACTGCTGAATCCCACACATACATAGATCAAATAACTTTATTCTCAGCAAAATTTCTAAGTTAAAAAGGAAAAAACAAAAAACACTGAAGGGATACTTTTCTTAAAAAAAAAAAAAATTGACAATGAATTGACCTAACAATTGCTATTTTAAAATAAACAATATTACTGTTAAATAGTACCGAGACTATATATCACTACAGATACTTTCGTGTTTTTGTTAAGACAGGGTCGTCCTCTGTCACCCAAGGCTGGACTGCAGTGGTACGATCATAGCTTACTGTAGCCTCAAACTCCTGGGCTCAAGCAATCCTCCCACCTCAGCCTCTCGAGTATCTGAAACTAAAGGCAGGCACCACCATGCCTGGCTGATTTTAAACTTTTTTTTTTTTTTGTAGAGACAAGATCTCACTATGTCACCCAGACTGGTCTTGAACTCCTGGCCTCAAATGATCTAACCACTTCGGCCTCCCAAAGTGCTGGGATTATAGACATAAGCCATACCGAACCCAGCTTTATTTTAGATAATTTATTCAGTATTAATTCCAATGGTGTCCTGAAATAAAGCTTTACTTTTTTTCTTTAGCTTTAATTATAAAAGGATTCATTCTAAAACACTTAGAATATAGAAAATTTAGAAGACAAATAAGCAAAAGGAAATAACTGTTCCTCTTTCCTATTTTTTTTCTGCATACATATATATGCATATCACATTTTTTTCTTTTTTTGTGGGGGAGATGGAGTCTCACTCTGTCACCCAAGCTGGAGTGCAGTGGCACAATCTTAGCTCTCTGCAACCTCTGCCTCTTGGGCTCAAGCAATTCTCCTGCCTCAGCCTCCTGAGTAGCTGGGATTACAGGTGCCTACCACCATGCCCGACTAATTTTTATATTTTTAGTAGAGACAGGGTTTCAACATATTGGCCAGGCTGGTCTTGAACTCCTGACCACAGATGATCTGCCCACCTTGGCCTCCCAAAGGTGGGAGCTGGCATGAGCCACTGCACCCAGCCGCATACCATTTTTAAAAAGAAAAATAAGGCCTAGCATGGTGGCTCATGCCTGTAATCCCAGCACTTTGGGAGGCCAAGGAGGGAGAATCACTTGCAGCCAGAAGTTCTATACCAGCCTGGGCAACACAGTAAGGTCCTGCCTCTACAAAGAAATTTTAAAAATTAGCCAGGTGTGGTGGTGCATGCCTATAGTCCTAGCTACTCAAGGGGCTAAGGTGGGAGAACTGCTGGAGCCTCAGAGGTTAAGACTACAGTGAGCTATGATTGTGCCAATGCACTTTAGCCTGAGTCAGAGTGAGATCCTGTCTCAAAAAAATTAAAAAAGAAACCGGACAGGCATGGTGGTTCACACCTGTAATCCCAGCACTTTGAGAGGCTAAGGCAGGTGGTTCACGAGGTCAAGAGGTTGAGACCAGCCTCACCAACATGGTGAAACCCCATCTCTACTAAAAATAGAGCCAGGCATGATGGCGCACACCTGTAATCTCAGCTACTCAGGAGGCTGAGGCAGGAGAATTGCTTGAACCCCGGAGTCGGAGGCTGCAGTGAGCCGAGATTGAGCCACTATACTCCAGACGGTCTTCTGGGCGACAGAGAGAGACTCTGTCTCAAAAAAAAAGAAAGAAAGAAACCTAAAAAGAGAATCAAACTCTATTTCAAATTTTGTTGTTGTTGTTTTGTGAGACGGAGACAGTCTCACTCTGTTGCCCAGGCTAGAGTGCAGTGGCACAATCTTGGCTCACTGAAACTTCCACCTCTCGGGTTCAAGCGAACCTCCTGCCTCAGCCTCCGAGTAGCTGAGATTACAGGCACGCTACCACAACTGGCTAACATTTTTGTATTTTTAGTAGTGACAGCGTTTCACCATGTTGGCCAAGCTGGTCTTGAACTCCTGACCTCAAGTGATCCGCCTGCCTCAGCTTCCCAAAGTGCTGAGATTACAAGCATGAGCCACTTGCCCGGCCTCAAAATATCTTTCAATTAGGCTGGGCACGGTGGCCCATGCCTGTAATTCCAGCACTTTGGGAGGCTGAGGCAGGCAGATCACTTGAGGCCAGGAGTTCAAGACCAGCCTGGCCGAGATAGTGAAACTCCATCTCTACTAAAAATATAAAAATTAGCCGGGCAAGGTGGCATTTAAACCCAGGAGGTGGAAGTTGCAGTAAGCCAAGATCACGCCACAGCACTCTGGCCTGAGAGCAAGAGTCAGTCTCAAAAAACAAAACAAACAAATCCTTTTAAGTTAATATACAATATTCCATCAGCAGTAACATATTTAACCAAGAATCTTTTAGTAGAAATTTGGGTTGCTTCTAATTTTGGATATCATAAATAAGGCTGCAATAAAGTTCTTAAACATATCTCTTTGCACATGTAAGTACTGCCTTAGGAATCATTCCCAGAAATAAAAATGCCAGGTCCAAAGAAATGCAAATTTCTAGGGCTCTGGATATATGTCAAGTTGTAACCCGGGATGTTTGACACAATTCTACTTCCACCTGCAGTGTATGAAGATAAGCTCTTCTTCATCCTGAAACCTTTTTTTTAAAAAAAAAAAAACTGCCACGGCCAGGCGTGGTAGCTCATGACTGTAATCCCAGGACAGCCAAGGCGGGCAGATCATCTGAGGTCAGGAGTTCGAGACCAGCCTGGCCAACATGGCAAAACCCTGTCTCTACTAAAAATACAAAACATTAGCTGGGTGTGGTAGCGCACTCCTGCAGTCCTAGCTACTTGGGAGGCTGAGGCATGAGAATCACTTGAACCCGGGTGGTGAAGGTTGCAGTAAGCCGACATGGTGACACTATATTTCAGTCTGGGCAACAGAACAGGACTCCGTCTTCCCCCCGCCCCCCGCAAAAAAGAAAGAAAAAAATACTGTGTGCTAATGTTATGGCTAAAAAAAGAAAAACAAAAAAACCTGCCAAAGTTATAGGTTTTTAAAAGGTATGGGGTTGTCTTGGCTAATCTTTTATTTTTTGTAGAGACAAGGTTTCATTATGTCGCCCAGGCTGGTCTCAGACTCCTGGGCTCAAGCCATCCTCCCATCTCTCCCTCCCAAAGGGCTGGGATTACAGGCATGAGCCACTATGATTACAGGCATGAGCCCAGCCACGGTGTTTTTTTTGTTTTGTTTTTTTGTTTTTTACAGAGACAGGGTCTCACTCTGTCACTCAAGCTGGAGGGCAATTGTGTTGATCATAGCTCACTGCAGCCTCAAACTCCTGGCTTCAAGAGATCTTCCCTCCTTGGCCTCCCAAAGTGCTAGGATTAAAGGTGCGAACCACTGCATCTGGCCCAAGAAAAGATGTTTAAACATGTATTGCTTTTATTCATTAGTGAAACTGATAACTTTTCATCTTTTGGCCCAGTTTATGAATCATACAAGAGCAACCTCAGCCCCTTGTTGCTGCCAATTGTCTTCTTACTGAATTGAAACAGTTTTTAGCCTAATGACTTTTAAGTCTCTTTTTCTTTTTTTTTAGACAGAGTCATGCTCTGTCACCCAGGCTGGAGTGCAATGGTGCAATCTTGGTTCACTGCAACATCCGTCTCCCAGATTCACGTGATTCTCCTGCCCTAGCCTTCCAATCAGCTAGGATTATAGGCACGTGCCACCACACCCAGCTAATTTTTGTATTTTTAGTAGAGACAGTTTCAACATGTTGGTCAGGCTGATCTCCAACTTCTGACCTTGTGATCTGGCCGTCTCAACCTCCCAAAGTGCTAAGATTACAGGTGTGAGTCACCACACCGGGCCTTTTTTTTTTTTTTTAAAGATATAATCTTGCTCTGTCGCCCAGTCTGGAATCCAATGGTGCAATCTCAGCTCACTGAAACCTCCGCCTCCTGGGTTCAAGTGATTCTCCTGCCTCAGCGTCCCAAGTAGCTGAGATTACAGGTGTGCACCACCACACCCGGCTAATTTTCGTATTTTTAGTAGAGACAGGGTTTTACCATGTTGCCCAGACTGGTCTCGAACTCCTGACCTCAGGTGAGCCACCATGCCTGGCCCCCATTAAGTCTTATTTTGAGAGTCAGAACAAATTTATGCTATTCATTATATAAAAACATATTGGCTAGAACTTTGAGAGGCCAAGGCAGGCAGATCACCTGAGGTCTGGAGTTTGAGACCAGCCGGACCAACATGGAAAAACCCCGTCTCTACTAAAAATACAAAATTAGCCAGGTGTAGTGGTGCATGCCTGTAAACCCAGCTACTCAGGAGGCTGAGAATCACTTGAACCTTGGAGGTGGAGGTTGCAGTGAGCCAAGATTGCACCATTGCCCTCCAGCCTAGGCAACAAAAGTCAAACTCTGTCTGAAAAAAAAAAAAGTTTCATGGCTGGGCGCAGTGTTTTACACCTGTAACCCCAGCATTTTGGGAGGCCGAGGTGGATGGATCACGAGTCAGGAGTTCAAGACCAGCCTGGCCAACATGGTGAAAGTCTGGCCAATATGGTGAAACCCTGTCCTTACTAAAGATTCAAAAAAAAAAAAATTATCTGGGCATGGTGACCCGCACCTGTAATCCCAGCTACTCGGGAGGCTGAGGCAGGAAAATAACTTGAACCTGGGAGACAGAGGTTGTAGTGAGCCGAGATGGGCCCACTGTACCCAAACTTAGGCGACACGGCAAGACTTCATCTCAAAAAAAAAAAAAAAAAAAATTTCATGTGTTAACTGAGTTTTATAAATTATTGACTAATTTATCAGAACAAAAGGACAAAATCAGAAAAAAAGAAGTTAGGGGCTGGGTGCAATGGCTCACACCTGTAATCCCAGAACTTTGGGAGGCCGAGGTGGGAGGATCACATGAGGTCAGGAGTTCAAGACCAGCCTGGTCAACATGGTGAAACCCCAACTCTACTAAAAGTGCAAAAATTAGCTGGGCGTGGTAGCGGGGGCCTGTAATCGCAGCTATTCAGTAAGCTGAGGCAGGAGAATCGCTTGAAACTGAGAGGTGGAGGTTGCAGTGAGTGTCACTGCACTCTAGCCTGGGCGACATAGTGAGACTCCATCTCAAAAAACAAAACAAATACAAAAATTAGCTGGGTGTGGTGGTGCGTGCCTATAGTCCCAGCTGCTAGGGAGGCTGAGGCAGGAGAACCACTTGAACCGGAGAGGCGGAAGCTGCAGTGAGCCGAGATCGCACCACTGCACTCTAGCATGGGCAACAGAGCGAGACTCCGTCTCAAAAAAAATAAATAATAAGTTGGGGATATTCACCCCAGGAAAAGTCCTTGATGTTTTGTTTTTCTGATATCACAGATCTGAAAATTAACTTTTACTGAAGTAAAGCCAATGGGATGCCAAAACGTGGTTATAGAAGAGATACACACTCACTATTATGTTTAAAATGTTACTGTTCCTAAAAGAGCAGATTTTAAATGTCCCATGGTTTCCTATATTGTAATTCTCTTTGAAAAGCAACTAAAAAAAATGCTCAGGCCACATCACCTGCACCACCTTTTGCTCAACAACGAAATCACAGCTCACAGCTCTCCATTTTTTTTTTTTTTTTTTTTTTTTGGAAACAGGGTCTCACTCTCTCCCCCAGACTGGAGGGCAGTGGTGCGATCTCGGCCCACTGCAACCTCCACCTCCCAGGCTCAAGTGATTCTCCTGCCTGCCTCAACATCCTGAATAGCTGAGACTAAAGGTACCCACCACTACCGCCCCGCTAATTTTTGTATTTTTAGTAGAAACAGGGTTTCACCATGTTGACCAGGCTGGTCTGGAACTCCCAACCTCAGGTAATCCACCTGCCTCAGCCTCCCAAAGTGCTGGGATTATAGGCATGAGCCCCTGCGCCCGGCCCACAGTTCACTGTTTAAACCTCTACAGCTATTGAATTTGCAAAGTGTAACCATTTTATATGCTTGCTAATGGAAAGGAGTTCAGAAATAAATTACAGATTTGCAGAGAGAAATTAAACAAAAAGGGAGGCAATCTGTGAGCACTAACTTAAGGTAAGATCTGTTGAAAAGCAGATTGCCATTTGCTCTCAAGTTACTTTCTTGAAAATACAAGGACATCAACACCTTCTTCTCTAAGTCTAAAGGTAAAATCAATTTTTATTCCTGAAAGCTAGTTTGCAGTTATAAAATTGCTATAATCAAATACTTCCTATAAAAGCTAAAGGTTTTGACTGCTACTTCAGTGTGTCTAATTTTCACTGTGCCATGATTTTTTAAACCCCACTTAGATAAATGGAACACTGACTGGCATCAAGCATCTAAAGCAGATTCAAGCTAAGACATTTCACCTGATTTAATCTTGTCTGTAAAGTGATTCGTCCTCCAGGAGAAGGCATCCTGCTTAGTGCTGCCTCAATCTGTTAACACAACGAAAAAAATATGTTTAAATTACTGGCAGGGAGGTTTGTCACACAGAATGGAAAGAAAAGATTTTGCCTTAGTATTTCCTTGTCCATTTCATCTCAACTTAATTTCCCTCTGTCAATTAGTAACAACCACACGGCTCAAATCCGTGACTAGCACAGCCCTGGTATGCTATCCCCTTGTAATATCCTGAGACAGGTTTGACTCAGTAATTTCCTTCTCCTTAGACATAAGCATTAAGTTCAGAAAACAATTTTTTAAAAATATTTCTTGGTTTTTACCTGGTCCTTTTCTTTTGTAAGTTCATCAAAAAATCGTTCTGTTTCAGCTAGGGTCCTAATTTTTGCTGTATATTCAAAATCATTCCCCTGCGGAGTTACTGAAACCGGCTTACACTGTTCATAGCTAACTGATTTATTCTTCTCCCAGGCAGTTCTCACAGATACTTTCTTCACTCCATTTGGCAACAGTTCAGGGCAAAAGCTATGATTAACATGGTTATCGGTGGCTTTCTCAGAATATGTTTTCTCTGTTAGAGAGGAAAGAATTGCTTATATTTCTTATCTATTTTTTCAGTAGACTACATACATATTAAATATGTTGCCCAATTTAACTTTCTGGACATAGCTGCTATATGGTCCAAAAAAGTAATGAAAAGAGATAATAATTAATCACATTTACTCAGTGCTTTTTTCTCCAAAGAGACAAAAATCTCCAAAGAGATTTGCCCTCTGACAAGCTTCACAACGTCCCTTAATGAACTTAAGCAAACTTCATGTAAACGTAAATTAACTTTAAGTAAACTTAAAGCAAAAAAAAAAAAAAAAAAAGTTTAAAAACTAGTATATCACATTTAGTGGACATACACTAACACTAAACATTTAACATTTTGAGGGCCTACCCAAGTCATTTCACATACATTGTCTTATAGCTTTATTCCATATTTAGAATATAAATGAGAAAAAAAAGTTACCCAAAGCCTATGCTGCATATAGAGAATAAAAGTAAAGAGAATAACTGAACAGTATGGCCCTGGTAATTAAACATCAACATTCCCTGTACCTCAGTTTCCCAACTTTTCAATGAGGATAACAACATTGACATAACAACACATAGCATCATGAGTGCTTAGTTTCAGAGGCCCTTAAGTAGGAAAATATTTGAGTGCAGAATATTATAATATTTAGAACATTGAGAGATACCATAATCTCAAAAAATGAATGACTAAAACCATAACTAATATTTTTTAGGAAAAAATACCTTCCGAGTCATCTAGAGGAAGAAACTGGAGTTGCTTTCTTGGATTGGTACGTTGTAATGTTGACACAGGAACAGTATCTAAATCATCCAAAAGTATATCAAATCTATTGAATGAAGCAAGTTACTTGTGAGAAAAAAAAGTTAACTGATTTTCCCTATCTCCACTAGAAAGATGAGCTGGCATCCAGCTAACTCACATATTTATGTATTTTCTTAAAAGAAAACTGGTTATATAATTTTCTAAAACTGAAATTTCATTTCTAGTTTCTAACAAAATTGCATTTACATACTAAAGACTTAAAACACTTACCCATACATTATCTCATTTGATCTTTATAAAAACCTTATGAAATAAGCAGGGTTGTTATTATTATCCCCGTTTTATAGAAGAGGAAACTGAGGTTCAATGTGCTTAACTCATCTCCCCAAGAGCCTGTCGGAGTTGGGTCTAGAACCAAAAAGCACTAACCCTCCCCACAGACAGCACACACAGCTGCTCACACTTTGGAGGAGACGATGTCTCAGCAGCACGGGTAAACCTGTATTTGGTGCCAGGGCCATACCAGTAAAGCCTACTTTCCTGTACAAATGGCCCAGAAGTTTTCCTGTATCATAAACCTTTTCAGGAAAACAAAGAACTATCATTCTACATACAAAACCTGAATGGGGCGCTGAGGTGATATTTAAAATCTAGTAGCAGCAAGTTTACATAATTAAAAACTGTTCATTGTACTGTAGTACTTTAGCTGTAGTATGACATTCACTAATGATTTAAATGAAATCCGCAGAGTTCCCACTGATAACTGAAAAATCAGTGATAGCTAGAGACATAAGTCAGCATTTGGAAAAAAAAAAATCACTAATATAGTTAACTTTATTTTACAATTTTAGAGAACTTACCGAATTGGACTGCTTTCATTTCTGCTAAGCAGATGACTAAATCCTGGGGACAAGTTTTCTTTAGGGGATCGCTTTGGACTATAAGCCACCGTCACTGGTGTTAGCATAATCTCTCTTTTTGCTATAGAGAAAATGAGAAAATATTCTTTTCCTTCTATATATGTTATATCAGCATAACAGTGTCTTCTTCAGTTTTTTTTTTCTAAGTTTGAAAGGAATATAATTTCAATGTAAAACTTTGAGAAATGAGTGTACAAAAAAGTAAAATCACTCATAACCCTAACACTCAGAGGTAACCACTGCAACACTGTAGCATATCAGACTGTACTTTCAGCACTTTGACTCAAAACTGGTTTTTCAGGATTTTAGAAGTCGACTGGAAATAAGATGGAAACGGCAGTACACTACTGAACATTCCTATAACACAGTAAGAATCTCCTTAGCTGGTGTGAAAATGAACATTTAGGACAGAAATTCAGTGCTTCAACTTTAAAACCAAACCTATAATTGGTTAAAGAAAAATAGTGACTAATGCTGAGTACTTGATATCAAATATGTAAGAAGTATTTTTGCAGACTAGCTTGAATTAATTTGATTGAATTAATCTTTGGATAGCAATCTAGTATCTTTAAAACTCAATTATTTTGCCGGGCACGGTGGCTCAAGCCTGTAATCCCAGCACTTTGGGAGGCCGAGGCGGGTGGATCACGAGGTCAAGAGATCGAGACCATCCTGGTCAACATGGTGAAACCCCGTCTCTACTAAAAATACAAAAAATAGTGCGCCTGTAATCCCAGCTACTCAGGAGGCTGAGGCAGGAGAATTGCCTGAACCCAGGAGGCGGAGGAATGGTGAGCCGAGATCGCGCCATTGCACTCCAGCCTGGGTAACAAGAGCGAAACTCCATCCCAAAAAAAAAAAAAACTCAATTATTTTTAAGTATTAGTTGCAAACAATTTACTGGACACAATAAAAAAATCTCGCTTTAATAAGCAGATTTCTTCATTTATATTTGTAGTATCTGTGTGATCAGACAAATTCATTTATGAACAAGATCTTATTTAGGGGTCTTCTGCTCAGAGTACTCTACTAGGGTGCTAAGGATACAAGAGAAACAGGAAATGGGCAAATAGCAGGCACAGCTCAGAGGTCATGCTTTTGAACCCAAGAGATGTACACATCCAACTCTTACTTGGAGTACTTGATTTACGATTTGGAGGTGGTAAAGATGATGATCTCTGTGAGGCTGAATTAAGTCTCTTTTGTCTCTGTTGGGCACACTTTTCTGGAGAACGACTTGCAAAGACTGAACTTTCAGTTTGCCGAGGATTTACTAATTCTACAGCAGACCAAAAAAAACAAAAAAACAAATCAAAACAAGCCTAAGTTTCAGTTATCCACCTTTATTAACAGGTGGTTACACACCAAGCCAGGTCCTCTATGCAGCTTAGGTTCTGCTCAAAGCATTTATTATTCTCACCGGCTAGGTTATATGACTATTTGCAAATGCTCCGCATTATAATGATAAAAAATGTTTGATGAAGAAATATGTAGGAGTTTTAAATGAATTCATTCTGGTTCCCTGTTTACAATCGGCATTGAAGGTGATTTTTCAAGAGGGTTATTTTTAGAAAGCAGGTTACTAATTTATTTACTACGACACTGTTTGGGAGATGTAACCCCAAAGGCACTAGCAGAATGACTAAGAGGTCTAAGCAAGCAAGCATAGAGGAAAAGGAAAGAAACATATTGGTAACCTGGACCTGTGAAAAAACACAGTATTAAAGACACTGCTTGCCTTATCTACAGATGCTCGGTAACTAAGAAAGGGAAGAAAGAATAGGAAATATTCTATCTTACTTCATATATACCAAATGCCTATCACAGCTTTCTGCTGTGTGCAAGTAAGACAAACTGACAGAAATGTCTCAAATATCCTTAGGAATGCCATGTAAGGCCAGGAGCAGTGGCTCACCACTGTAATCCCACACTTTGAGAGGCCAAGGTGGGTGAATCACTTGAAGCCAAGAGTTCGAGACCAGCCTGGCCAACATGGTAAAACTCCGTCTCTACTAAAAATACTAAAATTAGCTGAGTATGGTAGAAGGCACCTATAATTCCAGGTACTGGGGAGGCTGAGGCAGGAGAATCATTTGAACCCAGAAGTGGAGTTTGCATTGAGCTGTAGCACACTGCACTTCAGCCTGGGCGAAAGAACAAGACTGTCTCTAAAAAAAAAGAAAACAAAACCCAGAATGCATGTAAGCCTCTTTCATAATCAGAATGTAGCACGCGGTTTACTTTGTACAAAAGGTACATGTTATGCCAGAACTGTGATAAATTATTTAACTAGGACATTCAATTATCTATGAAACAAGGCTGAAGTAGCAGGAAAATAGCAAGTTTACAGAGTTAAAACTTTTAATTTCATTACCTAAAGATTTTAATTGGAAAGAAGACAATATAAATGGGGAAAATATATCTATATCCATCTATCTCAAACATGGAAATACTCACTATTTGAGGTGTCCTCTTTCTCTGTCTGTGTCCCCCAATTTTTAAATATTTTTCCTTCATCAACTTCTTTCAAAGCTCTCATGATCGGCGTATCTGAAGTCTCTCTTTGCTTTTTTATCAACAAGCTTGTTGATGAACTTCCAGGTGAAGAATCCTTTTCTGGAGGTGAATGGTACCTTAAACAATAATTTTAAGACATACAGTGCTATGGACCAAACATCTCACCCCACCCCCATCTCAAACATATACATTGAAGCCCTAATCTTCAATGTGATGGTATCTGGAGGTGGAGCCTTTACGAGGTAATTAGAGTTGGATGAGATCATGAGGGTGAAGCCCCCACAATGAGATTAATGCCTTTACTAAAAAAAAAAAGGGGGGGGAAGAGGGCTGGGCGCAGTGGCTCACACACTGTAATCCCAGCACTTTGGGAGGCCGAGGCAGGCGCCTGAGGTCAGGAGTTTGAGACCAGCCTGACAAACATGGAGAAACCCCATCTCTACTAAAAATATAAAATTAGCTGGGTGTGGTACGCACGCCTGTAACCCCAGCTACCCAGGAGGCTGAGGCTGGAGAATCGCTTGAACTCGGGAGACAGAGGTTACACTGAAGTGAGATGGTACCACTGCACTCCAGCCTGGGCAACAAGAGTGAAACTCCATCTCCAAAAAAAAAAAAGGAAGAGGCAGGAGCAATCTCTCTGTGCACAGACACCAAGGAAAGGCCATGTGAGGACATAAGCAGGAAGAGGGCCCTCACCAAACAAACACTCGGCACCCTGATCTTGCACTTCCAGCCTTCAAAGATAGAGATGTGTGTTGTTTATGCCACCTAATCAGTGGTAATTTGTTATAACAGTCCAAGCTAAACCACATACTTTACAGGGGTTATTAGGAAAATAACAGAGTTGACAATTATACTCCACAATGAGTATGCTTTGCAATGCAAATAATTTTTTTTTTTTTTTTTTGAGACGGAGTTTCGCTCTTGTTACCCAGGCTAGAGTGCAATGGCGCGATCTCGGCTCACCGCTACCTCCACCTCCTGGGTTCAGGCAATTCTCCTGCCTCAGCTTCCTGAGTAGCTGGGGTTACAAGCACGCGCCACCATGCCCAGCTAAATTTTTTGTATTTTTAGTAGAGACGGGGTTTCACAATGTTGACCAGGATGGTCTCGATCTCTTGACCTCGTGATCCACCCACCTCAGCCTCCCAAAGTGCTGGAATTACAGGCTTGAGCCACCGCGCCCGGCTGCAATGCAAATAAATTAAACCTGCATACAGTGCTTTCCAATCCTTCTAACATCCTACACTTAAGAGGAACAGCATCTGCACAGCACCCTGGAGTAAGCGGCTGAGGCTGCTCATGCAGGCTTGGGGCTCAGGCTGTCCAGAGCCATCTGAAGTGGGAAAGGATCAACATCTTTTGTTTTATTTATTATTTATTTTTGAGATGAAATTTTACTCTTGTTGCCTAGGCTGGACTGCAATGGCATGATCTCGGCTCACCGCAACCTCCACCTCCCGGGTTCAAGTGATTCTCCTGACTCAGCCTCCTGAGTAACTGGGATTATAGGCTTGCACCACCATGCCCGGCTAATTTTGGATTTTCAGTAGAGATGGGGTTTCACCATGTTGGTCAGGCTAGTCTCGAACTCCTGACCTCAGGTGATCCGCCCGCCTCAGCCTCTCAAAGTGCTGGGATTACAGGTGTGAGCCATTGCACCCAGCCTCATTTGTTTTTAGACAAGATCTCACTCTGTCGCCCAGGCTAGAGTGCAGTGGTGCAATCACAGCTCACTGTAGCCTTGACCTACCCAGGCTCCGGTCATCTTCCCACCTTACCCTCCCAAGTAGCTGAAACTATAGGTACGTGTCACCACGCCCAGCTAACATATATATGTTTTGTAGAGGTGGGATTTTGTCACACTACCCAGGCTGGTCTCGAACTCCTGAGCTCAAGCGATCCCTCCACACTGGCCTCCCAAAATGTTGGGATTACAGGTATGAGCCACCAGGCCCGGCCTGAGGATCGACATCCTATCCTAATCACAAACCCATATTGTGCCACTGAGCACAGGTGGGGAAGCTCTGCAGAGCTCATGGAAGTAAAGTATTCTAATAGTAGTTGCCTTTTGAAGTAAAATAAAAGTCAGGTTCTCAAAATTAAGACATTAAAGAACCAAAGAGAAGGCTTCCTGAACATTTAAAAGCAACTGAAATCTCTAATAAAACATAACATCCCTAAATAGAATCTTTAGCAAAGTTATCTCACCCAGGGCTACAGGTTTCCTCCAGCTGGTTATCCACGTTACTGTCCTGGGTATCCAGAGGCTGGCCAGTAAAGATGGAGTATTCTGCACCTGAAATCAGCCACTTCCGCCTACTGACGTCTGAAGTTGCTAGTGTGCTATTAGAACGAGAAAGTTCAGGAACTGCAAAGGTCTGCACTTCAATTCAGACTGTATGTGCATATAAAACAATCTGCTCTCAAACAGTATTTACACATTCGCACAGTAATTTAAAAACCACACATAACAATCTATATTTTAGATACAACTCTATTTTACAGTTTTATGATTCAACTTAATTGTTCTTCTAGGTTTCTGTTGCTCCTGAATCGCAGTCAAGATTCAAGTAGTTGTGGCTCTGAACATTCCCCTCACTGCCTCTCAGGCATTCACACCCTTTACACTCTGTGCCCTACTGCAGATGAGGGGGAGGTGTCGAATTAAACAGGGCTGTCCTTGAACCCTTCAGACCAGCCCTGTCCAACAGAATATTCTGCAAAACCAGAAACGCTGTCTGCACTGTCCAATGCAGCAGTCACAAGTCCTATGTCACTACTGAACACCTGAAATGTGGCTGGTAAGACTGAAGAACCAGTTTTAAAATGTTAATTTCAGTAATGAAAGTTTTCAGTATCAAAATGGAGTCACTAATGTCAAACTTCCACAAAATGGAGCTGGGAGGTCACAAAGGAGCAGCCCTCTCACACAGATGCCAATCATGGGAACTATTAAAGGAATTCCTCAGAACCACAGTATTCCAGATAATAAGCTGCTTGTACAAGGAAGCATCCCTAACAAGGGATGTCTCCACCAATGAGCTAATGCTAATGCCTGCAGCATGCTCCCGTAACCAGTGGTCTTTGTTTCAGAACAGTTTAGTGCACTGTGGACTGCCTTTTGTCTTTTAAAGTTTCCTGTGTCCCAACCCCTTTGGACGTGCTTATACCATAAGCATAGTACCATAGCACAGTACCATAGCATGCATACTCCAGATTGCAAACCTCCAACATTTCCAGATAAACTACTTTGGAGAGTCAGTCTCTGTCACTCATTTTAGGTTGACATGATTGATTTTAAATTGTAATGTGGCTGTTGGCAGGACTGTACTGAACAGTGTAGTTCTAGACGGTTACTCCCCCACAGCTCATCTGAGGTTCTCAACAGTCATTATGTTAACCCCCAGTCATTCCCCAGACTTTAGAGCCTGCCTCATTTTCTCCGCGCCTATTCCTGCTCTCACACTAGGCAACTTCCTGACTGCTCTCTCCAGTGAGATGACCCTCTACTCCTCAGCCAGCCACCTCAGAGGGTACTCACTGGCTTTTGTCATAACCAGAGGACACATTCCCCTTAAAAAACCAATACTCCAAAGACTCCACCCCATTCTGCCTCCCGCCCTCAAGCTTCAGCACAGCAACGAGTTGCAACTACACTTTGCTGTTGCACAAAGGCCGCTATAGATGATATATAAGTTAATAAACTTGTGTTTCATGAAAATTTTATTTGTAGACACTAAAATTTGAATGTCATATAATTTTCTTTTTTTTTAGATGGAGTCTCACTCTTGCCATCCAGGCTGGAGTGCAATGGCGTGATCTTGGCTAACTGCAGGCTCCCTCCGCCTCCCGGGTTCAAGTGACTCTCCTGTCTCAGCCTCCCGAGTAACTGGAACTACAGGTATGTGCCACCACACCTGGCTGATTTTTGTATTTTTAGTAGAGACAGCGTTTTGACATGTTGGCCAGGCTAATATCAAACTCCTGACCTCAGAAGATCCATCTGCCTCAGCCTCCCAAAGTGCAGGGATTACAGGTGTGAGCCACCACACCTGGTCTACCATACAATTTTCATGTGTCATAAAATATTCTTTTTTTCCCAAACATGTAAGAGTGTAGAAACCATGCCTTACTCAGGGGCCTTACAAAAACAAGTGGTTCAAGCCAGATGTGACCCCACAGGCTGGAGTCTGCCAACACCAGCTCTGCTGCCTGCACTGTCACGCTGCAGTATCATGCTTGATTGTATGACAATATTTTCCATCTTCTAGCTGTTAGACTTTCAGGTTGTTTTCATTCACTTTTTTTTTTTTTTTTAGACAGAGTGCTGCTCTGTTGCCCGGGCTGGAGTGCAGTGGCACAATCTTGGCTCAGTGGAACCTCCGCCTCCCGGGTTCAAGGGATTCCTCAGCTTCCCAAGTAGCTGGGATTACAGGCATACACCACCATGCCCGGCTTATTTTTGTATTTTTAATAGAGATGGGGTTTCACCATGTTGGCCAGGCTGGTTTTGAACTCCTGACCTCAAGTGATCCACCCACCCTGGCCTCCCAAATTGCTAGAATTATAGGCTGCAGCCACTGCACCTGGCCTTAATTCACTCAAGTACACTCTGAATGGGTTTCTGCTGCTATCACTCTATCCAAACTGTTCAATAAGCATTAGCCTCCAGCTTACAAAGACCTTGCAGTCTTCACCTTGATCTCTCAAGCAGCACTGTGAGATTAGGACATATATTATACATCAGTTTTCATCCACAATTCTTAGCTCATAACTCCCATATCCCTTGTCAACAGAATCTCTAACCTTCTCAGGTCTTCCTTTCACCTTACCAGGGCAGGACTCTAATTATGGGTCATAAGACCCTCATTTGAATCAGAGAGGATCCTGCCACATCCTCTGGAGGAAAGAATGCTGCACAAAGAGGCCTAGAAGGATCTGAACAGACAAGCCTTGCTGGGTTTAGATCACATCCTTTCTGTCCAGTTACATTTCAACACAGTTGTCCAAGCTTCAATCAGGTCCATGGAACGAAGCCTCCATAAAATGCCCAAGAGGACCAGGGCTCCAGGGCTTCTGGAGAGCTGAACAAGAGTTCATGCATGTGCAGAGAGTGGCACACCTCAACTCCACTGGGCCAGAAACTAGAGTACTGGAGATCCTTCCAGACCTCACCCTGTATCTCTTCAACTGGCTATTTGTATCCTTTAAAATATCATCTGTAATAAATTGGTAAACATGTTTCTCTGAGTTGTATGAGTCACTCTGGCAAATTAATTGAACCCAAAAAGAGAGTCATGGGAACCTCAACTTGAAGCCAGTTGGTTAGACATGCCGGAGGTCTGGACTTGCAAATGGTGTCTGAAGTGGGGGTAGTCTTGTGGACTGAGGCCCGAGTTTATGGGATCTGACCCCATCTTTGGGTAGATAGTATCAGAAACGAATGGGAGGACAAGTGGCTAGGTCCCCAGAAGAACTAACTGCTTGCTTGCTTGCTGGTGAGGAGAAACGCCACATATCCTAAATCACAGAAGTCTTCTGAGTTGATGGTTGTGCTGGTATGAGAGCACAGGGAAAACACAGGGTGGATTTTGCACTCAATCCCGGTAGCTGCTTGTTTTCCTCTAGCTTTTTGGCAGCACCTTCTCAGGTTCCTTTGCCAGCTCTCTTATCAGACACCAAAGTGTCAGAGTTCCTGCCCCAGGCCTACTTATAACTAAACACACTCAGTCTGCATCCATCCTATAGCTTTAGGCACCATCTAGAAAGAGACAACTCCAAAATTTATCATTCCATCCTAAAACCTTATTTTTGAGCTCCAAATTCATTTATAATTGGCTACTTGATTTCCACTTAGAATCGACATGAATCTCAAACAAAAATATTCAAGATGGAAATTCTGATCTCTTCCCTAGTTCAACATATGAACTGGGTACCTTTAGTTGTTTGGGACAGAAACCAAGGAATTATTCTAACACCTCCTTTTCTTTTCTTGCCTTGCCATCCAATTCACAACCATGTCCTATAGATCCTACCTCCAGAATCTCTCCCGAAGATTCTCTTTTGTCCATTTCTGTGACCACCACCCAGCTAACACCATCTCTCTCCTAGCACTGCACCAGCCTAACTAGTCTCCTACTTCCATTCTTTCCTTCTCCATCTTCTCATGGCAGGTACATTAATAAAATAAAAACTAAATGACATCATTTTATCACACAAAAACTTTCAAAGGCTTCCCAATGGACTTAGGGCAAGATCCAAACCCTTGACCATGGCTTAGAAAGCTATAAATGATCAGCTGGGCGCAGTGGCTCACACCTGTAGCCCCAGCACTTTGGGAGGCTGAGGCAGGCAGATCACGAGGTCAGGAATTTGAGACCAGTCTGGCCAACACAGTGAAACTCCATCTTAAAAAAAGAAAAAGAGAAAGTAAAGAAAGCTATCAATGATCAATCTCTGATTTCATCTAGGGCGATTTTGCCTCTTGCTGGAAATATTCAGGCCATGCTAGCCTCCCTTAGGCTCTTCAAACATGCTAAGCTCTTTCCTACCTGAGGACTTAGCAAGGCAATTTCTCTACATGGGCCACCTCCCAGACACCCCACCCTGCCTATCCCTCACCCCACACCTTCTGCTCCAGCAACTCTATGCACAGGTGACTCTTCTGCTTATTAGCCTCCTCTCTAAAGAAAGGCCTTCCCAGCTGGGCATGGTAGCTCACACCTGTAATCCAAGCACTTTGGAGGCCAAGGCGGGCAGATCACCTGAGGTCGGGAGTTCAAGACCAGCCTGACCAAGATGGTGAAACCCTGTCTTAAAAAAAAAAAAAAAGAAAGAAAGAAAGAAAAAGAAAGGCCTTCCCTGGCCTCCAACCCGAGGCTCTTCTTTTTATTTCTCTCAAATGTTCAATTTGTTACTTACATCTTTTCTCTAAAAAAAAGAATTTGCTATGTTTTACTAAGATTAATTAACAAAGACCTAGAAAAAAGCTTCTTTTAAAATCTATTTTATTTTATACAGATGGGTTCTTGCCATGTTGTCCAGACTGGTCTCAAACTCCTGAGCTCAAGTGATCATCCCACCTGGGCCTCCCAAAATGCTGGAATTACAGGCATGAGCCACTGTGCCCAGCCCTAGAAAAAGCTTCTCATTTGACAATTACAACTTGGGTCACAAATTACAATTTAAAATCATTTTTCTGGCAAATGTCATTATAAAGTTATAATTTACTTATTCTTTATTTATACTAAAATCATAATAAAAGCCAGGTGTAATATGAAAACAATTTATTCTGTAAGGATATCATCAAGACAATGCTGAGATATAGCCAAGCTATTTCTGAAAGAACTAAATAAACTAAAAAGAAAACCCATCCAACCTAACGAAGATGCATCTTTGTAGTTCCTTTCATTAACATGGGAATAAAATGTCTGAAATTTGAGGCAAAAAGACCTTTTGAGATGTTCTAGCCCCTTGTCCTTATTTTTACAGATAATAAAAATGAATTCCAAAAAAGGTAAGTGCCTTGCCTAAGGTCACACAGCTGGGCAAAGAACAAAATACATTCCAAGTTTCCTTACTCCCAATTTGATCCTACTGCATTTCTTAATTTTAGCAAATGCGTCTGCACAAGAGAGTTTGTAATATCCAGTAATTTATTTAACACATCTAAGTTCAGGGTTAATGACATTTAACCCTGACTTTCTTACGATTTAGACAGGTGAGCTTCTGGTCTTAATAGAAGAGTGCACCTATTTCTAGCTTTATAGAGAGTAAATGAAATCACTTACCTGGCACGCGAGGGTCTCACGTGAGTTCTAGAATTATGACGAAGGCTTAACATATTTTCATGTTCTACTTGCTTGACCTGAGCTTCAAGTTTTGAAATCATTCTAATTCAAAAGCAATAAGATAAATTAAGTACATTTCAACAAATTTAAAATATAGCTCAACTACAGTTTATTTAACAGACCCTTCTAGAAAATGGGTGACAAAAGAGTTGCAAGTCCATAAACCCTTTTCATAGGTGGGTGGATCACCTGAGGTCAAGAGTTTGAGACCAGCCTGGCCAACATGGTAAAACCCCATCTCTACCACAAATACAAAAATCAGTCAGGTGTGGTGACACACACCTGTAATCCTAGCTACTCAGAAGGCTGAGGAAAGAGAATCGTCTTGAACCCAGGAGGTGGAGGCTGCAGTGAGCCAAGATCACACCACTGCACACCAGCCTGGGTGACACAGTGAGACTCCATCTCAAAAAAAAACCTAAACAAAAACCAGTGAATCTATAAATAGAAAAACAAATACAGTAAAATTCTACAAAGAAACATTTTCCATACAACTGAATAAAAAGGGAACCACAAACAAACTTAGTATCACAAGTTATATAAAGTTGACTACAGATCAAAACATCACATTTATAAATTAAATAAAAATAAAATTAAAGTTACAAATAAACTGCATTCTAATGTGTTTAATCCTAATATGTATATAACCATGCATACAATAGGTAACACTTTCACAATGAGGAACCTGGCTTAATTTCCAAAAACAGAGTTTTAACCTTTTTTTTTTGAGACAGAGTGTCACTCTATCGCCAGGTGTCAGGCTGGAGTGCAGTGGCACGATCTTGACTCACTGCAATCTCAGCCTCCCGGGTTCAAGCAATTCTCCTTCCCTCAGTCTCCCGAGTAGCTGGGACTACAGGGGTGCGCCACCATGCCCAGCTAATTTTTGTATTTTTAGTAGACACGGGGTTTCACCATGTTGGCCAGGATGGTCTCAATCTCTTTACCTCGTGATCTGCCAGCTCGGCCTCCCAAAGTGCTGGGATTACATGTGTGAGCCACCATGCCCACTTCAAAAAACTTTTCTTAAAAAAAAAAAAAAAAAACCTTCTAAGTTTTAAAAGAGGCAGAGGCTAAAATATTGCAAACAAACTATAAGTATTTCATCTTTGTACCATGTTCAAAACAAAAGCCTATTTTCAAGTTTACCAACAGGAAATGACTACTCTGGCCAATTGACTGTTTTTAAGATATCCTGGCATTCACGCTGTTCTTTTTTTCCCTTCGTTTAAGAGATGAGGTCTTGCTCTGTCATCCAGGCTGGAGTGCACTGGCATCACTGCTTGCTGCAGCCTCAAATCCCTGTCCTTAAGAGATCCTCCTGCCTCAGCTTCCTAAGTAGCTGGGACTATAAGTACATGCCACCATGCCTGGCTTGATCTTTTAAACTCTGCATATGACTTTATCTCATCTTTCCAACTCAAATTCTTACCTACTTTGACGCAAGGAAAATTTGAGAAATAACAGCTCTAACAAGGCTGATGTTTTATACCAATCTGATAAGAAAGTTATCACTAGAATTGAATGAATCACAGAAGAGAGGCAGATGAGAAATCTAGACAGCATTTCTGTTCTTCTCTATAGGAAATCCTTAAGACTGCAATAAAATTTCTAAATAAGGGACATTACTTACATCCAAATACAAATATAATATTTGCTTTCAAACCAGTTTAAATATTTCTCTTTTCTTTCTTTTTTTGAGACAGTCTTGCTCTGTCACCCAGGCTGGAGTGAAGAGGTGTGATCTCAGCTCACTGAACCTATATCTCCAGGGTTCAAGCGTTTCTCTGCCTCATCCTCCTGAGTAGCTGAAATTACAGGCCTGTACTACCATGCCCGGCTAACTTCTCTATTTTGAGTACAGATGGGGTTTCACCCTGTTGGCCAGTCTGGTCTTGAACTCCCGATGTCAGGTAATCTACCCACCTCAGAGTCCCAAAGTGCTGAGATTACAGGAGTGAGCCACTGCACCCAGCCCAGTTGGATATTTCTAATCATTTGCAATAGATACCATGTATGATTCTTTCCCCACATAATTAAACAAATCAGATCATTAATACAGTCTCCAAACCAGGTCTTTCTGAAAGTAGATGACCACAATTTTGGTGTTAATGCTGTTTTCTTTTTGAAGCACAAAAATAATTCTTAAAGTTCTTTCCAGTGGTTAAATATCATTTGGATTTTAACCTATGCTAAGAAAATACATAATGTTTGGGAAAATACCAACCTTTGAGGCACAACCACCAATACATTTTAATTATTTAAAATATCTTGTTTGAAGTCAGGTGCATAGTGGTGCATGCCTGTAATTCCAGCACTTTGGGTGGATGAGGCGAAAGGATCACTTGAGGCTGGGAGATTGAGAACAGCCAGGGCAACATAGCAAAATCCTACGTCTACAAAACGTTTTTAAAAATCAGCCAGGCTTGCTGGACTGGGTGGCTTATTTCTGTAATCCCAGTACTTTGGGAGGCTGAGGCAGGTGGATCACTTGAGGTCAGGAATTCGAGACTAGTCTAGCCAAAATGGTAAAACCATGTCTCTATCAAAAATACAAAAAAATTAGCTGGGTTTGGCGGTGCACTCCTATAGTCCCAGCTACTCGGGAGGCTGAGGCAGGAGAATTGCTTGAACCCAAGAGGAGGAGGTTCCAGTGAGCCGACACTGTGCCACTACACTCCAGCCTGGGTGACAGAGCAAGACTCTGTCTCAAAAAAAAAAAAAAAAAAAAAAATCAGTCAGGCAGATTGCTTGAGCTCAGGAATTCACAAGCCAGCCTAGGCAATGTAGTAAGACCCTCTCTCTTTTAAAAAAAAAGAAAAGAAATCTTGTTTGGCTGAAATGAAATGTATTTCCATGTCAGGGAAAATCTAACATAAAACTAGTTCTCAAACTGCTTAAAAATCCTCAAGAAAAACTTCTTTCTCATTATGTTCAATACAGACACATAAAAGAACAACTGGGGTATGTGTACGTGAGTAAGATAATACATTTTACCTTTTCAAATCAGAAATCTGAGTATATGCATCAAGCAATTTGTTCTCGGTTGTATTTAATGCATCCTATGGAAACAAAAGAAAAACTTAGATAACTGAAGATAAATATTCAGATATATCATTTTTAAATGCATAAAAGAAAAGGAATCTAAGGCTAAACCAGCTAGCTACAAACTATACTCAGCAAGTATGGCATCAACCACAGAGCCAGGACCGACAGTTCAAGGAAAACATGTAAGAGCAAAGCACCAGCCTACACAAGTCACTCTGCATAAGTTCCCTGGGTAACAGATACAGCCCATTATACTTTGCTTAATTAGGAACAAACCAGTGTTAAAATAAACATATTTAACCACAAACTTGACTAAAACCTCAGAAGGATGGTAAAACAAGTAATTTCAATGAGATTTAGATATCATGGGATCTGCTCCTGAACCCTCAGAACGGTTTGGCTGCCAAGCTATGCAGGCCTTTTTGTTAAGCTTCAATAACCACAACCCTGCATTCTGTGCAACAGAAATACATGGGCCTCACTTACAGCATCGCTGAAGGGTTTTACTGAATGCAAATATGTAGTCCCCAAACAGAGCTTTCATCAAGAATTCAAACACGGCCAGGCATGATGGCTCACGCCTGTAATCCCAGTATGCTGGAAGGCTGAGGCAGGTGGATCACTTGAGGTCAGGAGTTCGAAACCAGCCTAACCAACATGGTGAAATCCCATCTCTACTAAAAATACAAAATTAGCCGGGCATGGTGGCACATGCCTATAATCATGTGCCACCACACCTGGGAGTCTGAGAAAGGAGAATTGCTTGAACCCAGGAGGTGGAGGTTGTAGTGAGCCAAGATTGCGCCATTGCACCCCAGCCTGGGCAACAAGAACGAAACTCCGTTTCCAAAAAAAAAAAAAAAAGAATTCAAACATAATTCACAAATTCAACCCCACCAACAGCTGACCCAGTGAAAATCAAAGCTTGATATTTAAACGGTATTAAATGGCCGGGTGCAGTGGCTCACATCTGCAATCCCAACACTTAGGGAGGCTGATGCAGGTGGATCACTTGAGGTCAGGAATTGGAAATCAGCCTGGCCAACATGATGAAACCCTGTCTCTACTAATAATATAAAAATTAGCCTGGTGTGGTGGCGGGCGCCTGTAGTAGTCCCAGCTACTCAGGAGGCTGAGGCAAGAGAATCGCTGGAACCCAGGAGGCGGAGGTCTCAGGGAGCCAAGATTGCACCGTTGTACTCCAGTCTGGGCAACAAGAGCAAAACTCCATCTTTGAAGAAAAAAAAAAAGAAAAGAAAACACAAAACAAATAAACAGTACTAAGTAATTATTTTCATCAGTATGGTACCTTATACTCTTTTGAACAATTTCATTTCAAATGTAATAGCCATTCAGTAAGTATTTGTTAAATTAATGAATCTCACAAACTGGTGAGTTAAATGGGGCAGATATTTGAAATTAAGGATAATGAAACAGGATAAGCAAAGTTCCAGTTCCAACAGCTATGGAGGGTACAGGAAGGGTGCAAGAAGGAGGAAGGGTCAGTACCCTTGATTCCCAATCCAATGTTTCTGCCTCTGCATGAAATCTAGACAGGAACCATTACCCCTTACCTTTACTCTTCCATGTTCTTTTCCAAGAGACTCATACTCTCCTAAAAGCTACAAGGAAAAACAAAAAAAAAAATGCACCAGAAAATTAAACATTATTATATCAACAGAGGGATATTCTATGAAATAACTGCCCATATCCTTCAAAAATGCCATGTCATGAAAGAGAAAGGGCAATAGAGAATTGGTGATTCAATGTAAGGGGAATGGAACAATTCTCAATTTCTTGAACAGTTTCTATACATTTGAAATTATTTCAAAATAAATAAAGCTGGATGCAGTGGCTCACATCCATAATCCCAATACTTTGGGAGGCTGAGGAGAGAGGATCACTTGAGGCCAGGAGCTGGAGACCAGCCAAGAGAACAGAACAAGACCTCAGCTCTACAAAAACAAAAAATGAAACAAAACAAACAGCCGGGCACACCTGTAATCCTAGCACTTTGGGAGGCTGAGGTGGGAGAACTGCTTGACCCTGAAAATTGAAGAGTTCAAGGCTCCAGTGAGCTATGATCATGCTACTGCACTCTAACCTGGGGGACAAGGAGAGACCCTGTCTTAAAAAAAAAAATTGCTGAACATGGTGGCACATGCTTGTAGACTCAGGAGGCTCACTTGAGACTGGGAGGTTGAAACTGCAGTGAGCTTGTAGTGAGGCTTGCAGTGATATCGCGCCACTGCACTCCAGCAGGGTCCAGAGAGTGAGGTCCTGTCTCAAAATATCAATACCATTTAAATATTTTAAAAGGCTAAAATTTGCCTTGTTCTTTTTGAAATTACTTTTTTTTTTTTTTTTTTGGAGATGGAGTCTCGCTTGGCTCTGTCACCCAGGCTAAAGTGCAGTGATATGATCTCAGCTCAACACAACCTCTGCCTCCCAGGTTCAAGCGATTCTCCCACCTCAGTCTCCAGAATAGCTGGGATTACAGGCATGTGCCACCATCCTCAGCTAATTTTTGTACTTGTACTAGAGACAGGGTCTCACCATGTTGGCCATGCTTGTCTCAAACTCCTGACCTCTAATGATCCTCCCAAAGTCTTGGGATTATAGGCGTGAGCCACCACGCCTGGCCAGTATATTACTTTTTCCTGTTAGTTCTACACAGTAAAGGCACAGTGCAAAAGTCTTTATTTAAAAATATATGTGAGGCTGGGCGCAGTGGTTCATGCCTGTAATCCCAGCACTTTGGGAGGCCGAGGAAGGCAATCACTTGAGGTCAGGAGTTCGAGACCAGCCTAGCCAACATAGTAAAACCCCATCTTTACTAAAAATACAAAAAAAAATTAGCTGGGTGGGTGGTGCGCACCTGTAATCTCACCTACTTGGGTAGCTGTGGTGGGAGAATTGCTTTAACCCAGGAGGCGGAGGTTGTAGTGAGCTGAGAGGGTGCCATTGCACTCCAGCCTGGGTGACAGAGCAAGACCCTGTCTCAAAAATAAATAAGAGGCTGGGCATGGTGGCTGACACCTGTAATTCCAGCACTTTGGGAGGCCAAGGCAGGCAGATCACTTGAGGTCCAAAGACCAGCCTGTCCAATATGGTGAAACCCCATCTCTACCAAAAATATATTTTAAAAAATTAAAATAAAGTATATGTGAGATTTCTGGTTAAAGATGACAGATTAATAGAATTTTCTCCTCTTCATCCTGAGAGTACACTAAATTAACAATGAAGAAATCAAAGAAAAACAAAAGAGGTGACAGTAACAGGTGAGAGATTTCAACAAAGTCTTAGAAGATTAAAAAGAAATAAATTGCCTTAGCAGAGTGGAAGGGGATACAACCCGAAGTGCCTGAATCCAGGAATGCTGATGAAAAGCTGGCTGATGTCGGCATAACTGTGAGAGGCACCCACCTTGAAACCCAGGTTTAGAGGTGGACAGGGTTGAGGCACAGGGCTGACCATAGAGAACTGATTGAAATTCCCTAAACAGTCAGAGCCCAGGAAACTTTCCCATCCCATACAGCAGTAGACTTTAGCTGGTGGCACAACAGTAGGAGAAAATGAATGGGTAGAAAAATGGTGAGAAATCCAATGATAACAGTGCAGTGGGAGGCAGAGGATAAAGAGAAAATGACTGGCTGGGTGCAGTGGCACACGCCTATAATCCCAGCACTTTGGGAGGCCGAGGTGGGTGGATCATGAGGTCAAGAGATCGAGACCATCCTGGTCAACAAGGTGAAACCCCATCTCTAGTAAAAATACAAAAATTAGCTGGGCATGGTGGCACGCGCCTGTAGTACCAGCTGCTCGGGAGGCTGAGGCAGGAAAATTGCTTGAACCCAGAAGGCGGAGGTTGCAGTGAGCCGAGATCGTGCCATTGCACTCCAGTCTGGGTAACAACAGCAAAACTCCGTCTAAAAAAAAAGAAATATTGTTACAGGCCAGGCACAGTGACTCATGCCTGTAATCCCAGCACTTTCGGAGGCTGAGGCTGGCAGATCATTTTCTGTCAGGAGTTCGAGACCAGCCTGGGCAACATGATGAAACTGTCTCTATTAAAATTACAAAAAAAAATTAGTCGGGTGTGATGGTGCCTGCCCATAGCCCCAACTACTTGAGAGGCTGAGGGAGGAGAATTGCTTGAATCCAAGAGGCAGAGGTTGCAGTGAGCCAAGATCTCAACACTGAAACTCCAGCCTGGGCAACAAGCAAAACTCTTGTCTCAAAAAACAATTATATATATGTTTTTTAAAAGGCCAGGTGCTGTGGCTCACGCCTGTAATCCCAGCACTTTGGGAGGTCAAGGCAGGCAGATCACGAGGTCAGGAGTTTGAGACCAGCCTGGCCAACATGGTGAAACCCTGTCTCTAATAAAACTACAAAAATTAGCTGGGCATAGTGGCATGCGCCTGTAATCCCAGCTACATAGGAGGCTGAGACAGGAGAATTGCTTGAACCCAGGAGGCGGAGGTTGCAGTGAGCTAAGCAAGATCACGCCACTGCACTTCAGCCTGGCGACAGAGTGATTCTCCGTCTCAAAAAAAGAAACGAGGTGCATGACTCGGTCATAGGCGTGATGGCAGGTGCCTGTAATCCCAGCTACTTGGAGGGCTGAGGCAGGAGAATCACTTGAACCCAGGAGGCAGAGGTTGCAGTAAGCTGAAATCGCACCATTGCAATCCAGCCTGGGTGATAGAGTGAGACTTCGCCTTAAAAATAAAAATTAGCAGTAACGTCTTGGCTTAAAAAAAAAAATTAGCAGTAACGTCTTGGCTTAAAAAAAAAAAAAAGAAAGAAATATTGTTACAAAATTTCGGCATAACAAGGATAAAAAGATGATCCTTAAAAACTTCCAGAAAGAAAAAATAACCACATTCTGAAGGAATGAGAAACATGATTATTAAATGCAATGTGGCCCAGGCACTCTGGCTCATGACTTTGGGAGGTCAGCGTGGGAGCATCATTTGAGCTCAGGAGTTGGGAGACCAGCAAGGGCAACATAGTGAGACCTCATCTCCACAAAAAAATAAAATTAGCCAGGCATGGTAACACAGGCCTGTAGTGCCTGTAGTCCCAGCTACCCGAGAGGCTGAGGTAAGAGGATAATGAGCCCTGGAGGTTGAGGCTGCAGTGAGCTATGAATATGCCTACTGTACTCCAGCCTGGGTGACACAGTGAGACCCTGTCTCAAAAAAGTAAAAATAATAAATGCAATGTGTGATACTTGATTGGATTCTGAATTAAAAAGCAAAAACCAAAACATCTATAAAGGGTATTATTTAGATAATTGGCAACATTTGAATGTAGACAGAATGTATATTACATATTAAATCAATGTTAAAATGTACTATATCAATGTTAAATTTCCTGAGAATGAAAAGTACGTTGAGATTACACAGGAGAATGTCTCTGTTCTTCAGAGATACCTGTTGAGGTATTTAAGGGTAAATTATCATAATGTCTAATTTACTCTCAGCAATGCTGTAAGATATTCACAACTGATAAATCTAGGTAATGAATATACATGGGTTTTCACTGTATCATTCTTATAAGTTTTCTGTAGGCTTGAAACTTTGAAAGCCATGGGAAGGGAGAAAAAGGAAAAGAACTGATCATGTCATAGGCAATAAAACAAAGTTTTCAAATCTGAAGAAAACATTACAATTAGGATCTAGATCTTCATCTTCAGCTAAGACCTAGATCTTCATCTATCACAGTTATAGATGATATGTAAAATTCGAGAAATAACAATACCAGACCAGGTGCAATGGCTCATTCCTATAATCCCAGCACTTTGGAGGACAAGGCAGGTGAATCACCTGAGGTCAGGAGTTTGAGACCAGCCTGGCCAACATGGTGAAACCCCATCTATACTAAAAATATAAAAATCAGCTGGGCATGGTGGCAGGTGCCTGTAATCCCAGCTACTCGGGAGGCTGAGGCAGGAGAATTGCTTGAACCCAGGAGGTGGAGGTGGCAGTGAGCTGAGATCATGTCACTGCACTCCAGCCTAGGCAACAGAACAAGAATGTCTCAAAAAAAAACAGAACAGAACAATATTAGTACATTATTTAGAAATACATAAATACTAGAATACGGTATACCTCGAGAAAAAAAGAACAAAGGGTGTAAAAGGTTTTAATTTTTTAAAAAGAAAAATACTTTGACTTATTTTAATATTTAGATATTTAAACAATGTTCACATATGGGAAGATTCAATATGTCTAGTTTCAGCTGTCTCCAAATAAATCTGTAAATTGAGTGCAATTCCAATCAAACGCAGAGTGACATGCTGACAGTAATATTTATATGAAACAAAACAAAGCCAAGGGCAAAATAATTTTTATAAGAGCAAAACAACAACAACAACAAAAAACCGAGATAAGGAAACATCACCAAAAACCAACACTTTGTTATAAAATACTAATCATTACATGATGTGGTTCCAATTCAGAGACAGACCGATGGTACAGCTCAGAGCCTCAAAAGAGATTTACATGAGAAGGAAATAAAATATACAAGAGAAGTCAGTAAGGGAAGAATAATCTATTAAAAAATGATTCTGGGACAACCGGTTAATCATCGGGGCTTTAGCGGGGGATCAAGTTCAATTCCTACCTCATACCATATATTACATAAGAAGTAATTCTGGGCTAGGCACGGTGGCTCACGCCTGTAATCCCAACACTTTGGGAGACTGCAGCAGGTGGATCACCTGAGGTCAGGAGTTTGAGACAGGCCTGGCCAACATGGTGAAATCCTGTCTCTACTAAAAATACAAAAAACATTACCCAGGCATGGTGGTGGGTGCCTGGAATCCCAGCTACTCGGGAGGTTGAGGCAAGAGAATCGCTTGAACCTGTGAGGCAGAAGTTCCAATGAGCTGAGACGGCACCATTGCCCTCCAGCCTGGGCAACAAGACACTCCATCTCAAAAAAACACAAAAACAAAAAATATCCAAAACTTGTATTCCAAAAAAATAAAGTGAAAATTACAAATTCACTTTATTTGTATTCCACAAATAAAGTGAAAAGCCACGGGCCAAAAGAAGATTAAGGCAATACGTATAACCATTTCCTCTTAATCACACTGGAAAAATTAAAAGACATTCTGAAAAATTTCCAGACAATACCATGCACTTGAAATAATCTAGAAAAATAAGAATTCTCATACACTACTGGCAGGAAAATAAACTGGTACAACCATTTCAGAGAGCAATTTAGTAATATCTAAAAAAGATAGCAAAGCTCATAGTCTATGTCCCAGCCACTATACTCAGAGAAAGAGATTATTATAACAGACTGTATTTTCCACTAACAACCACAGCATTATTTCCAGTCCCATAAGCTCTTGCAGAACCTTGCTACCTTCCATTAAGAGGTTGTATCCATTTCCCCTCCACTTGAACCTATGCAGGACTTTGAGAGTGTTTAAAAAATAGAATAGAATACGCTGGGCATGTTTGACTAAGGACTGTAATCCCAGAGCTTTAGGAGGCTAGGGCAGGAGGATTGCTTGAGACCAAAATTTCAAGACCAGCCTGGGCAATCGTAATGAGACCCCCATCTCTACAAATAAATAAATAAGTAAAAATTGGCCAGACTGGCCAGGCATGATGGCTTGCACCTGTAATCCCATCACTTTGGGAGGCCAAAGCGGGAGGATTGTTTGAGCTCACGAATTTAAGACCAGCCTGTACAACATGGCAACTCTGTCTCTGCAAGAAAATACGAAAATTAGCCAGTTGTGGTGGCATGCACCTGTAGTCCCAGCTACTTGGGAGGATGAGGTGGGAGATGACTTGAGGCAGAGACTGCAGTGAGCCAAGATTGCACCACTTTACTTTAGCCTGGGTGATAGAACCACACCTTGTCTCAGAAAATAAATAATAGGCCAGGCATGGTGGTGCGTGCCTGTAATCCCAGCACTTTGGGAGGCCAAGGTGGGTGGATCACCTGAGATCAGGAGTTCAAGACCAACGTGACTAACATGATGAAATCCTGTCTCTACTAAATACAAAAAATTAGCTGGGTGTGGTAGTCCATGCCTGTAATCCCAGCTACTTGGGAAGCTGAGGCAGGAGAATCACTTGAACCTGGGAGGCAGAAATTGCAGTGAGCCAAGATCACACCATTGCACTCCCGCCTGGGCAACAAGAGCAAAATAAAATATGAAATGAAATAAAATAAAATAAATAGTAAACATAAAAATAATTAGCCAAGTGTGGTAACATATGCCTGTAGTCCTAGTTACGCAGGAGTATCACTTGAACCCAGAACCTCAAGGCTGCAGTAAGCTACAATCGTGGCACTGCACTCCAGCTTGAATGACAGAGTGAGACCCTGTCTCAAAAAAATAGAACGTGGTACAAGTGATGCTGTACAGTTTGCAAGGCAAGGTCATAAAAGGCAATGTAGCTGTTGGGGTCCTCTTTCAGGACACCTGTCCTTAGTACTAAGCCATCATGTTGCAAAGAAATCCAACCGAGCCCACAGGGGAGGAACTGTGACCTTAAGTTGACAGCCACCATTCATGATGAAACATCTCCTTCAAAAGATTCCAGCTCCAGCCTTTAAGTTTCTAGCTGATGTCCTAGATACTGCAGAACAGACAGGCTGTCCCCGCTGTGCCCAGTCCGAGTTCCTGGACAACAGAGTCCATGAGCAGAATATGTCAAGATTTCAGGTTATGAGTTTTGCAGCCATGGCAGCAAGAACAATACCCTAGAGGTGCTTGCGCATACTGACATAAGAAGCCACATAGGGGAATGTTCATGGTAGTGTTTCTCCTAGCAGCAATAACAAACTAGCAAAAGGAAAGTGGATATATATACTGTGGAAGATTCACATGATAAGGCCAGGCACGGTGGCTCACACCTGTAATCCCAGCACTTTGGGAGGCCAAAGCGAGTGGATCATGAGGTCAGGAGTTCAAGACCTTCCTGGCCAAGATGGTGAAACCCTGTCTCTACTAAACATACAAAAATTAGCCGGGCACAGTGGCGTGTGCCTGTAATCCCAGCTACTTGGGAGGCTGAGGGAGGAGAATCGCTTGAACACAGGAGGCAGAGGTTGCAGTGAGCCAAGATCAGGCCACTATACTCTAGCCTAGGAGACAGAGGAAAAAAAAAAAAAAAGATCCATGTGATGGATGACACAAGAGTGAACACAAATAAAGTTGTGCTACTACATGTATCACAAGTGAAAAAAGTTGCAAAACAGTAAAGACAGTGTTGATAGCATTTATAAAAGTTTGAAGATCTGCCAAAGAAGTAACACTAATTAAGGATACATACATACGCATGTGACCATACAAAGACAGACAAGGGAATGATATTCACACAATTTAGATCAGTTACTCCCAGCATGGCAGAAGTGATCAGCAAAGGGTACACAGGGTGTCAACCACATCTGTAGTATTTTATTTATTACGATAGGTAGTAGAGTCATAAGTATATTTTTATATCTTTTTATATACCTAAAATATTTCAAATGTAAATGTTTAAAATTAGTAAATAAAAGTCAACTGTGTCAACATGCCAAATCTCAGAAACAATGTTGAAAGGAAAAAAAAAAGACTGCAGAAGGATATATGCAATGTAATTCATATATAGCTCAAGATCACAAGTAATACTACTAAATATTATTTACAAACATGTATATGTAGTAAAAGGAAAAAGAACTGCATGAGGATAACAGAGCACATTTAACAATGTGGGTACCTCTAGGGTGGGAAAGAGAGGAATGGAAGACAATGTTTTACTGTATCTAGAGAAGGCTAGAACGGTATTCGCTATACTTTTCTGTATGCTTGAAATGTTAGATATGATAAATGCAAAGTCAGTGTATCACTGGCTATATTAATATAATTTCAGCTAAAACAACACATTCCAGCTATCCTTTGCTGCTTCACTGCTACTCAAACATAATTGAGGTGAGTTTTTGAATAATTAGAAACAATGACATCCCAGTAGCAATGAACATACTTAGTACAAGATCTTTTTTTTCTTTTTTGAGACAGTCTCACTATTTTACTCAGGATGGAGAGCAGTGGTGTGATCTCGGCTCACTGTAACCTCCACCTACCAGGTTAAAGTGATTCTCCTGCCTCAGGCACCCCTTACCCCACCCCATCAGTAGCTGGGATGACAGGCATGCATCACCATTCCCCGATAATTTCTTGTACTTTTAGTAGAGATGTGGTTTCACCATGTTGGCTAGGCTGGTCTCAAACTTCTGACCTCAGGTGATCCTCCTGCCTCAGTCTCCCAAAGTGCTGGGATCACAGGTGTGAACCACCACACTTGGCCTAGTACCAGATCTTATTGTCTGAATACCAGTTTCCATGAAAAGGAACCAGAGCTTAACAGAAAAAATGACTGATCCTAGGCCTGGGGCTTGGAAAAGTACAAGAAAAGCATGGAACATAGTGCTGTGACAGGAAATATGGACATGCTCAAAGAATAACAAAAGCATGTCAAAAGGACACAGGACCAGCCTGACGTGTCTCCCAATGGCCAAACTTGGGACACCATGAGTGTTTTCTAGAAACAGTAAAGATATGGGAGTGATGCCATCATTCCAAGTATCTGACTTCTTGCTGCGGCAGGACCCAATTGACTCCATCAGGAAGGTACATATTCACGGCTGCTGCAAAGTTATGTAAAACTACAGGCCGGGCATGGTGGTTCATGCCTGTAATCCCAACACTTTCGGAGGCTGAGGCAGGCGAATCATCTGAAGTTGGGAGTTTGAGACCAGCCTGGCCAACGTGGCGAAACCCCTTCTCTACTAACAATACAAAAATTAGCCGGGTGCAGTAGTGGGTGCCTATACCTCCCAGCTACTTGGAAGGCTGAGATGAAAGAATCGCTTGAGCCCAGGAGGTCAAGGCTGCAGTGAGTTGAGCTTACACCACTGCACTCCAGCCTGGGTGTCAGAGTGAGACTCTGTCTCAGATAAATAAATAAATATATATACACATACATACGTACATACAAACAAAATAAACCTAGAAAATCATAATCACTTGTAATATGTACTTGTAATAGTACAAAACCTAAATTACTTTTAGCCAACCATGTCATTAAGTTACTATTATTCAGCTGGGTGCGGTGGCTCATGCCTATAATCTCAACACTTTGGGAGGCCAAGGAAGGTAGATCATGAGGTCAGGAGTTCGAGACCAGCCTGACCAACATAGTGAAACCCCGTCTCTAATAAAAATACAAAAAGTTAGCTAGGCACAGTGGTGGGGTGCCTGTAATCTCAGCTACTCAGGAGGCTGAGGCAGGAGAATCGCTTGAACACAGGAGGCGGAGGTTGCAGTGAGCCAAGATTGCGCCACTACACTCCAGCCTAAGCAACAGTGCTAGACTCCATCTCAAAAAAAAAAAAACACAGTTACTATTATTTGTTACTTACATCTTGAAACATTTTGTTCTCTTGTTTTAGTCGGGCTTCTTTATCATCTGAGAGTTTGTAAGCATTCTCAAATGCTTCTTCTAAATCCTGCAGTCTAGATTTTAGTCGAACGATGGTATTGTCTTTTTCTTTACTGCTTGTTCTCATTTCCTCAATTCGTTCCTGCAAAATTTTGGAAGCACCGCTGGCTGCGCTGAAACGTTCTCTCAAATCATTCTACAAAATAAAGACAAACATAAATTTTATTTATTTATTTATTTTTTTAAAAAAATAAATAGTCTTACTCTGCTGCCCAGGCTAGAGTACAATGGTGCAATCTCAGCCTACTGCAACTTCTGCCTCCCAGATTCAAGCAATTCTCCTGCCTCAGCCTCCGGAGTAGTTGGGATTACAGGTGCCTATCACCACCCTCAGCTTATTTTTTGTATTTTTAATAGAGGCAGGGTTTCACCATGTTGGCCAGGCTAGTCTCAAACTCCTGACCTTAAGTGATCCACTGGCCGTGGCCTCCCAAAGTGCTGGGATTACAAGCATGAGCCACCGCACTCAGCCGAAAATTGATCTTAAATGAAAAAAATCAATGCCTCAAAAGTAGCTAATAAATTGGGGGCATTAAAAAATGAACAAAAAATAGAAACAGAAATGAACAAATCTATTTTGTTGTATTCTGGGATGGAGAGTCCAGAAAGAATCGTTCTACTGGAATACCAGCCCCTGACATTATCATAAGGTATACAGGAAACTACTGTCTGTGGCACTGATTCTAGGACTCACCTAAGACAATAGCTCCTACAGATAACTTTAATAAGGAAAAATAACCACTGCTATTAGGGAAATTATTTTGAAAGCCCAGTTAGACTTCGTTGCCCAACATCAACATTTAGGGAGAAGAAAAACATTTTGTACCCTCACATTATGAAAATACAAGAAATTTAAAACCCATCTGATATGTTAATATTTATTCAACAATCATTTCTGTAATTCCTACTAGGTGCCAGGCACTACGGTGCTAGAAATGTAAGATAAACAAATAAATAGTCCCTAATGTCATGAAGCTTAGGAGAAGACAAAGAACTAAAAAAGCCAACAGGCCAGGCACTGTGGCTCACAGTGAAAATCCCAGCACTTTGGGAGGATTGCTGGAGCCCAGGAGTTTGAGGCCAGCCTCGGCAATATAGGAAGTCCCTATCTCTCCAAAACTTTTAAAAATCAGCCTGGTGTGGTGGTGTGTGCCTGTAGTCCCAACTACTCAGGAGGGTTAGGTGGGAGGATCACTTGAGCCCGAGGAGAGCTCGAGACAGCAGTAAGCAATGACGGCTCCATAGCACTCTAGCCTGGGCGACAGTTATCCCTGTCTCGGAAAAAAAAAAGAAAAAAGGTAAAGATAAAAACATATAAAACAAAATAGGCTGGGTGCCTGTAATCCCAGCACTTTGGGACACCAAAGCAGACACATCACCTGAGGTCAGGAGCTTGAGACTAGACTCGCCAACACTGTGAAACCCCGTCTCTACTAAAAATACAAAAATTAGCCAGGCTTGAGGGAGGGCTCCCGTAATCCCAGCTATCTGGGAGACTAAGGCAGGAGAATCGCTTGAAGCCAGGAGGCGGAGAGTGCAGTGAGAGCCGAGATTGCACCATTACACTCCAGCCTAGACGAGAGCAAGACTCCAACAAAAAAACAAAAGACATTTTTCCACCAAAATTTTGTTTATAAAGTTGCATGTATCACATACATATACATGCTATTCTATGATAGCTATCATGCATTTTATCTTCTAATAGATATTAAAATAAAACTTGCAAACTCAGACTTTGAGAAATTTTTTACACTTAAAAAGATTGCCTTACACCAAAAGATTGGGAATGATGTAATAAAGGTCTTTGTTTGGAAAGAAAAAAAGTTACATGTAAAAAAATAAAACTTGGTAATGCATGGGGAAAAAAGTAAATTTAGCATAAAAAGTTTATGCACTTCTAGTGATATAGTCAAGAAAACAAAAAATTTATTTGGCATGTAAAATCTCGTAGATAAACATTCATAGCAAAATAATTTAAATAGCCAGAAAGTGTATAAATAATCTAAAGATTGCCTGATGAATATTAACAAAAATGGGGTATTACTCACAGAATGAAATATATTCTGCCATAAAAAGGAATAAAGACTGATATATTACAACATGGATGAACCTTGAAAATATTGTATTAAGTGAAAAAGCCAGACACAAAAGGCCACACAGTCTAGGACTGCATTTATATCAATGTTCAGAAAAGGCAAATGCACAGAGAAAGAAAACTGAGGCGTGGTTGCCAGGGCGTGGGAGGACAGAATGTGTGGGGGTGACGCCAAGGGGTGTGAGGTTTTTTTGTTTTGTTTTGTTTTTTTGACTGAGGAAAATGTCCTAAAATTGATTGTGGTGGTGGCTGCCCAACTCTAAATATACTGAAATTCATGGAATTGTACCCTTTAAAGGGTAAGTTTTATGGTATGCAAACTCTACCTCAATTAAAAACATATTTTGAGACAGGGCTGTGCTCTGTTGCATAGGCTCAGTGCCATGGCGCAATCGTGCAGCCTCAACTTCCTGGGCTCAGGTCATTCTCCACCCTCGGCCTCCCAAGTAGCTGGGACCAGAGGTATGCACCACCATGCCCAGCTAATTTGTAGAGACAGGGGTCTCTCTATGTTGCCCAGGCTGGTCTCGAACTCCTGGACTCAAGCAATTCTCCCACCTCAGCCTCCCAAAGTGCTAGGATTACTGACATGAGCCATCATACCTGGCCAAAAGGCAAGTTTTAAAAGGGTAAAGTTTTTAGTACTATATGAAGCCAACAGCACTAAAAACATAAACTTCATAAGCCTTTCTTAAAAAGACAAGAAACACATAATCAATGTTATTGTGAAATACTTCATTTGTCTCACCAGAACTCCCACCAAAAAAAAAAAAGCGTACTTACCACTTCAATTTGCAGTAAGTTATTCTTATTTTCAAGTGTTCTCACGTGACTAGTAGCTTCATGCAGAGCACTATCTAACTGGCCACATCTAAAAACCATAAATTTAGTTTCAATTAGAAGATAAAATTATTACCCTTAAAGTATTACATAAATCTAACCAATTCTCTAATATGTAACATAAGACAAATTCTCCAGCGTTAGCTAAGACTCAGGATGCCATCTTAGTAGAATATATCCCAATGAATCTGATAATATAGTATGTAAAGAAAACACCAAAATTGGCCAGGCACAGTGGCTCACGCCTGTAATACCAACACTTTGGGAGGCTGAGGTAGGCAGATCACTTGAGGCCAGGAGTTCAAGATCAGCCTGGCCAACATGGTGAAACCCCATCTCTACTGCAAATACAAATACAAAAATTAGCCAGGCATGATGGCATGTGCCTGTAGTTCCAGCTGCTCAGGAGACTGAAGTGAGAGGGTGGCTTGAATGTGGGAGGCTGAGGTTTCAGTGAGCCAAGATCATGCCACTGCACTCCAGCTTGAGTAACAGAGTGAAATTCTTTTTTTTGTAGAGATAGGGTCTCCCTAAATTGTCCAGCCTGGCCTCAAGTGATCCTCCCACCTCAGCCTTGCTGGGATTATAGGCGTGAGCTAACATGCCTAGCCAAAAATTAATTTTTTTAAAAGATACTAAAAAAAAGACATGCATAGAATAGCTTGATCTTAGTTATGGAAAAAAAAATCTATCTACAAAATGCATTATGACTTCTGGGAAAATACAAAAAATTAAATTTGGGATTTGAGACTAGAGATTGGGAAAAGAGATTTACTTTTTTTTTTTTTTTTGGAGACAGGATCTCATTCCATATGAGAGGCTACAGTGCAGTGGTGCAATCTCATTCCAGGCTGGAGTGCAGTGGTGCAATCATGGTTCACTGCAGCCTCAACCTTCTGCAATCCTCCTGCCTCATCCTCCTGAGTATGCACCACCACATACAGCTAATTTGATTTTTTGTAGAGATGGGATCTTACTTTATCATCCAGGCTAGTCTTAAACTTCTATGCTCAAGCGATCCAATTAACTTTTCATATTATATCCTTCTGTACTATTTCAAACTTAGCATAAATATAACTATTCTTATAATTAACTTCCTTTGTAAAGTGAATTATTACATACGCTCAAAATAACAAAATACATAGAAGAATTCAATGACCATTTTGACTCGGTGTTTCACATACTGTGAATAATAAAAGCTGTATTTATTTAGCACTGACTGTATACACCAGGTCTTTGTTAAGCATGTTCCACTTATCCTCACAATTCTGTGAATTAAGATTATCAATGGAAGGGGAGAGGAGGGAGACCTGCCGCCTTTCTCCCTCCATCCCCCTCAAAAAAAATTATCATTGACTCCATTTTAGAATGGAGAAAACAAGACAGTTCAGTTCCTCACTGAAAGTCACACAGGTTATAAGCAGTCACACTGGGAGTGTAAGTTGGGCACTCTGAGTTCATGCTCCTAACCGCTGTGCATTAATGCATCTCAGACATGAAACAGTGATAAGACTATTCTTTTGTTTTTTTTTTAAAGCCAGTTAAATTTAGCAGTGGGGGTTGTATGCCAACTTTAGAGACACTAATGTTAATAAGTTCTGATAACGCACTACCATCGGAGTAGCTGTGGTAAGACTATTCTTTTTTTTTTTTTTTAGCACAAAAACCTGAATAAGACTATTCTTGAGAAAAGTCAAATAGTCAAGTGTAAGTGTGTAAACTGTATTTGACTTTTTTCAGTACTACAGATCCTAATGTGCCAGAGATCACTGTCCCAAGTTCCAAATCCATGACATAATAACTGATATCACAGCTGGCTAATAGCCCCATTTGTAACACCAGGGAGATTCTCAAATTTGCAATTTTAAGTTTGAAAAAAACCAGCATATATGGGCTGCTAAAAATGGTTTGTAGCTTGGAGGAATCATTTCTCCAGTTCTAAATGACTGCAATTTATTTTGTTTCCACTGTCCTCTACACAGGTTTTTTTTTTTTTTTTTTTTTTTACCATAAGCCAGACCCAGTCTTTTTTGGGAAGTAGGAGAAAATAATGTATTGCTATTCATTTGCACAGTGATTACAGTTACTCCAGAAACCACACCTGCCACTGTTGCTAACCACTGCAACACAGCCATTTACTAAAACCCTGGCTTCCAATTTGCTCCACCTATATTTGCTCATTGCTCTACGTGCTCAAACATCTTCTAATCATAAAAATTGTTTTTTTTTCTTTGTTTTTTGAGACAGAGTTTCGCTCGTTGCCAAGGCTGGAGTGCAATGGTGCCATCTCAGCTCATGGCAACCTCAGCCTCCCAGGTTCAAGTGATTCTCCTGCCTCAGCCTCCTGAATGCTGGGATTACAGGAATGCCCTACCACACCCAGCCAATTTTGTGTTTTTAGTAGAGACAGAGTTCCTCCATATTGGTCAGGCTGGTCTCGAACTCCCGACCTCAGGTGATCTGTGATCCACCTCGGCCTCCCAAAGTGCTGGGATTACAGGCTTGAGCCACCTCACTCAGCCAAAAATGTTTTAACTGGCTATAATTTACTCTAGGTGCCTTCCTTAGCACTCTGTCTTTAATCTTCAAAAGTTCACTGGTGGGCTTCTTTCATACTTGTTTTCCTATGGGAAGAAACTGCAGTTATTTTTGCCTTTTAGTTTTTGAGACTGAGTCTCACTCTGTCGCCCAGGCTGGAGGGCAGTGTCGCAATATCAGCTCACTGTAACCTCCGCCTCCCAGGTTCAAACGATTCTCTAGTCTCAGCCTCCCGAGTAGGTGGGATTTTTCAGTGTGCACTACCACATCTGGCTACTTTTTGTATATGTAGTAGAGTTTCACCATGTTGTCCAAGCTGGTCTGGAACTCCTGACCTCAAGTGATCTGCCTGCCTTGGCCTCTCAAAGTGCTGGGATTGCAGGTGTGAGGCACCACACCCAACCACATCTTCATCTTTTTTTTTTTTTTTTTTGAGACAGAGTCTTGCTCTATCACCAGGCTGGAGTGCAGTGGCATGATCCGGGCTCACTGCAACTTCCATTTTCCGATTTCAAGCAATTCTGCCTCAGCCTCCCGAGTAGCTGGGACAAAAGGCACACACCATCAGGCCCGGCTAATTTTTTGCACTTTTAGTAGAGATGGGGTTTCACCATGTTGTCCAGGATGGTCTCGATATCTTGACCTCGTGATCCGCCCGCCTCAGCTTCCCAAAGTGCTGGGATTACAGGTGTGAGCCACCATGCCTGGCCATCTTTGCCTTCTTAACAAAAACCAAAAAATCCAACTTCTCATAACCTGTCATCTACTGTTTTTGTCCTAAAAAACCTAAACCTGTATCTTTTCTTGTTTGGCTCTTTTTCAAATTACTTTTCCCTACCATTGTACCCCCACACCACCAAATCCAAAATGAAAGCTGTAAAAACATTCCGGAATAAGATAGCCAAAACTACTTAGTAGAAAGGCTAGTTTTCCCATAACTTTGAAAGTTAAACTGTTAACCAGATGGAAGATTTTAGTTCCCTCCTTAGCTCTTTGAAGCGAGCTTTGTCTTTTCTCCTTAGAGAACTCCTTGCTATCAGGTAGGCCTTCATCAATTTTCAATCTATTTAAGTCCTATTTATTTAGAGACAGGATGTTGCTCTGTCACCCAGGCTGGAGTGCAATGGCACAACCTCAGTTCACCACAGCCTTGACCTTCTAAGTTCAAGCAATCCTCTCACCTCAGCCACCCAAGCAGCTGGGACCACAGGTACACACCACTACTCCAGCTAATGTTTCAATTTTTTGTAGAGACAGGGTTTCACCATGTTTCCCCAGCTGGTCTTGAACTCCTGAGCTCAAGAGACCACATGCCTCAGCCTCCCAAAGTGCTAGGTTACAGATGTGAGCCACCATGCCTGACTAAGTCCTGTTTAATTATAAAGTACGGCAAGGACTCTATTGCTAATACCAGTGAAAGCATCAAATTTTCTAAGTGATTCTAAAATAGGTGTGAAGCTATCCTGAATATAAGGCCATTCTCCCCTATATTTCTTTGTGGATATTTTTTGGAATGGGAACTATAGTACTTTAATGGGCCTTTTTAAAAAGTTGAGAACTGCCATAGGACATAAGCCATAAATATCAGGAAGTCCATAGTACTGCTCCTCCCATCAATGGCATTACTCTTCACATACAAAATCGCTAAACCGTTTCAGTGTTTTGCCATGTGAAAACAGATGGCTCCCTGCCAGTAATTAGTGTATTAGAAGAGGTGGGTTCAGCCAGGTGCAGGCTCATGCTAGTAATCCCAGCACTATGGGAGGCCGAGGAGGGCAGATCACCTGAAGTCAGAAGTTTGAGACCAGGCTGACCAACATGGAGAAACCCCATCTCTACTAAAAATAAAAAAAAAAATTAACCAGGCGTGGCGGTGCATGCCTGTAATCCCAGCTACTCAGGAGGCTGGGACGGAAGAATCACTTGAACCTGGGAGGTGGAGGTTGCAGTGAGCTGAGATCAAGCCATTGCACTCCAGCCTGGGTGACAAGAATGAGACTGCGTTTAAAAAAAAAAAAAAAAAAGAGGTGGGTTCATAGCTTCAAATACTTAGGCAAATGTGACTATTAAAATTTCAAATCCAAAGTATATGTTTTCAAAGTGTTTTATCACAATATACTTCTGTGAAAATAATAAATCCAAGGTAGAGAAAACTTCACAGCTAAATTATAAATTTTACCTGTCTACAAGAATTTGATTGGTTATCTTCCAATCTTCAACTGCAGAGATTTCTTTTGCCTCCAGCTTCTGCTTCAAACTATTTATTTCTGATTCATAATAAGCTCGAAGATCTGCTATGTGTCGAGCATGCTTTTCCTTCAGGTTTTGCCTAATCCTTATCCGGTGAGAATGAAAAATATATGTTATGAAAGCTATCCTCCATCTCCATCCCACAAAAGAAACCAAGAACACAATGATTCTCGTGGGCAAAAATATAGCATATTTTCTTTCCATGCCACCAAATATATAGATTAATACACAAGAAGTTGACAATCGAGTGAAAGAGTTTTTATATGCTCTATCTTATCAATGCTAAACCTCTAAGATTTTAGGCAATACTAAAGTTCAATAAAAATCAGTTTCAATCAGACATCACAGAAAATCTACTAACATTACAAGCCATTCAGTGAAATACATACTTAGACAATATCACAGGATCTTCCAAGGAAGTCAGTGAAATGCATTCTGGGACACTGTTGGCTGTACCTGGAAGCTGGGACTGACTGACTGAGGCCGAAGCAACCATGACAGTGTTTTCTTCATCTACAGTGTTGACCGAGATATCATTACTAGTAATGGTATATACTGATGGAAACGTAGAACTGGTCCTACTTTCATTTTGGAATGTCTGATTTTTCCAAGAGTCCACAGGAGAAGATTTTGGGTGTGAAGGATATTTTGGGAATTCAGGTAACTGAGAAGTGACATTACTTGCTTGTGAAAATGAGTCTATGTCAGAGGGACTAGACATGCTAGGCTCTAGAACAGAGTCCGGGGAAAAGGATATTCTGTCATCCAGGGCATTCGGAAGGCTGTGGAGTTGAATCCCTGAAATCTGCTGCTTTGGCTTCATGTGTAACGTAGGATCTAGAGTCAGGACCTAGAAACAAGACAAAGGGAAGTCTCACCCTCAGAACTCGGTTTTACTTTGCTTGCTTTCAAGTGAGTAGGCTTTAAATCTCCTAGGGAAAATGAAGCTTGAGGTAAAAGAGTCAGGAAGCATCATTCACGTTCACTCGGCAGAATGTGGACAACTTTACCTCTGGTGGATGATTTGGGTTGGAAGCAGAAGTGAGATTCCTCTCAGGTAACTGCTTGTTTTCCCTTTGTTTTTTATAATAAATATCCTTCAGTGATGGTAGCTTCATCTCATTACTAGTATTAGACTTAAAGACACGAAACAAAATTAAATGGTGTTATCAATAATGAAACAAATTAGTGATATCAAAATAAGCACCATAAAAAGATTTTTGAAAGACTTTAAGCAAATTGTAGACTGTCAGATTTATAATACAAAGTTGGAAGTCACTGCCTAGTATGATGAGTCTACCTCAGAATGAAAAGATGTTTGCATCTCCTAACAACAGACACTAAGGGGATAACGTGAACATTAATTATTTAGCAGCCTATGAATACTTCCAAATAATGAAATTCTTAGTAGTTCTCTCACTGAAAATAAGAACCAAGTTTTGCGGGTTTCTTTGATTCAGGGTCTCATCCTGTTGCCCAGGTGAGAGTGCAGTGGTGTGATCATGGCTCACTGCAGCCTCAACCTCCCAGGCTAAGGTGATCTTCCTGCCTCTGCCTCCCAAGTTGCTGGGACTACAGGCATGCACCACCATGCCCAGCTAATTTTTCTATTTTTTTGTAGAGACGGGGTCTTGCCATGTTGCTCAGGGTGGTCTCCAACTCCTGAGCTCAAGCAATCCTCCCACCTCAGCTTCCCAAAGTGCTAGGTACATGCATGAGCCACCATGCCTAGCCAAGAACCAAGTTTTGACATAAGCAAATACTTCATAATGAATGATAGAAGGAGAAAACTTCTGGTCAAACTAATTTCATATGACTGAAAAAAAAAAAAAGCACCAAGAGGCAGGGTTACTTATCTATATATTTATAATCATGTTTGTTTAAAGAGTTGGCCAACCAAAACTAGGTGTCACAAAGTGACCCAATGAAAATAAGTCCCCCCTATCGCTTCTCGACCTTTTGGCAAAGACCAAGTCGAAATTAGTCCCTTTATTCATTAGTAAAATAAGAAGACATGACCCTAAGCTGGACACGATGCTGCACGCCTGTAATCCCAGCACTTTGAGAGGCTGAGGCAGGCAGATCACCTAAGGTCGGGAGTTCAAGACCAGCATGCCAACATGGTGAAACCCCGTCTCTACTAAAAAAATACAAAAATTCAGCAAGGCTGAAGTGGGAAGATCACTTGAATCCAGGAGGTGGAGGCTGTAGTAAGCCGGGATCATACCACTGCACTCCATTCCAGCCTGGACAACAGGGCAAGACTGTCTCAAAAACAAACAAACAAAAAAAACACAGAAGATACAACCCTAATTTCTAAAAATTGAAATCAGGGCTACACTACACTAAAAATGTTGCACAGAGGTTTAGGCTCTAAACATTAAAACTTCGGGCTTAAATTATTTCAAGGTGGGACATATTATAGGGTGTGAGAGGAGAACCAATTAACCTTGGGCCTCAAATTTAACCTGTGAACACTGCCACAAATGAGATTACACATTCAACAATAGATACACTGAAAACCCTGAAAGAACACATTAATTATGTAGCTTTAAATTCATATCCCATTTCTAGACCCCATATAGGCTCAGAGCACCATGAATATACATTCTGAAAAATCTTATAACTAGCTTGCGAATGTGTGCTTCAAAGGCATTAATTTGCTAAATCTAAACCTTTAAAATATACTGCAGCAGCTCACACCTGTAATCCCAGCACGTTGGGAGGCCAAGGAAGGTGGATCATTTGAGGTCAGGAGTTTGACACCAGCCTGGCCAATATGGTGAAACCCCATCTCTACAGCTCTACTAAATACACAAAAATAAGCCAGGCATGGTGGCACATGCCTGTAACCTCAGCTACTCAGAAGGCTGACGCAGAAGAATTGCTTGAACCTGAGAGGTGGAGGTTGCAGTGAGCCAAGATCTCACCACTGCACTCACACTCCAGCTTTGAAAACAGAATGAGGAAGGAGGGATCCAAGATGGCTGATTAGGAGCAGCTCACAATTACAGCTCCCAGCAAAAGCGTGGAGGGTGAGTGGATGCCACTCACATTTCCAGAAGGATTTTTATTGCCCACAGACCAGGAGATTCCCAGGCGGAGGAGCCCCACGGGTTGCCAGCACGGCTGGTTTGGCTGGCACGGCTGCTTTGCCAGCACCCCAGCGCGGTGGTTCTCCATACAAAATACACGGGTCTGGGAGCCATTTTAGCCAGCGAGTGGAGCTCCAGGAAGGCAGAGTCATCCATTCATCTGATTAAAAAGGGGAATGAAACAGGGAGCCAGGCCAGGAGATTCCTGGGCAAAAAAATGAAATTCTTAGTAGAATCTCAGGGCGGCTGTTTCAGCCGGTACAGTGGGTCACCACACCGGAAATCACACAGATCCCGGCACCTTTTCAACAGGCGACTGGAACACCTGTGAGAGAGTTGACCGTTCAACTGAAAAAAAGGCTCTGAGGCAGGGAGCCAGGTGATCAGGCTCAGCTGGTCCCACCCCCACAAAAGAAACAGCAATTGGAAAGGCCCTGGGTTGAGTTTCATAGCAAGCACAGCTGAACCCAGAAAGTTCCAGCTCTGTGGGGGAAGGGCGTCCACCACTACCAAGGCAGTCCACCACTACAGAGGAAGTCCGCCATTGCTGAGGCAACCCACCATTACAGAGAGAGTCTGCCATTACAGAGGTGCACCACCACTGCCAAGGCAGTTCTGACTATACCCGTATAAACAGGACTGCAGGGAAGTTCACACAGCAGCTGTGCAGAACCCACAGCAGCTCAGCAAAGCCTCTGCAGGCACGCAGTGACTAGGCTGCCTCCTCGCTGGGCAGCCCTGAAAAAAAGGTAGCAGCACAACGGAAACTCATAAATAAAACCCTAACTCCCCGGGACAGAGCACCTGGGAAAAATAAAAATTAAAAAAGGGGTTTATGAGTTCTGCTGCAGCAGACTTAAACATACCTGCCCAGCAGCTCTGAATGAACAACAGAGCTCACAGCTCAGCACTTGAGCTCCTATAAAGGACAGACTGTCTCCTCAAGCAGCTCCCTGACCCCCGTATATCCAAAGAGTCACCTCATAAAGGACTGATCAGACTGACATTTGGTGGGCATCATTCTGGGACAAAGATAGCAGAAGAAGAAACTGGTAGCAACCCTTACTGTTCTGCAGCCACTACAGGTGATCCCCAGGCAAGCAGGGCCTGGAGTGGACCTCAGCAGTCCTACAGCAGAGGAGCCAGACTGTTAGAAGGAAAACCAAGAAACAGAAAGAAATAACTTCATCATCAACAAACTGGACGTCCACTCAGAGACCCAATCCGAAAGTCAACAACTACAAAGACGACAGGTGGATAAATCCACAAAGATGGGAAGAAACCAGTGCAAAAAGGATGAAAACACCTGAAACCAGAACGCCTCTCCTCCTACAAGGGATCACAACTCCTCACCAGCAAGGGAACAAGGCTGGATGGAGAATGAGTGTGATGAATTGACAGAATCAGGCTTCAGAAGGTGGGTAATAAGAAACTTCTGTGAGCTAAAAGAACATGTTCTAACCCAATGCAAAGAAACTAAGAACCTTGAAAAAAGATTTGACGAAATGCTAACAAGAATAGACAACTTAGAGAGGAATATAAGTGAATTGATGGAGCTGAAAAACACAACAGGAGAACTTCGCGAAGCATACACAAGTTTCAACAGGCGAATTGACCAAGCCGAAGAAAAGATATCAGAGGTCGAAGATCAACTCAATGAAATAAAACGAGAAGGCAAGATGAGAGAAAAAAGGGTAAAAAGGAATGAACAAAGTCTCCAAGAAATATGGGACTATGTGAAAAGACCTAAGCTACGTTTGATAGTGTACCTGAATGTGACAGAGAGAATGAATCCAAGCTGGAAAATACTCTTCAGGATATTATCCAGGAAAACTTCCCCAACCTAGCAAGGCAGGCCAATACTCAAGACCAGGAAATACAGAGAACACCACAAAGATATTCTTCAAGAAGAGCAACCCCAAGGCACATAATCGTCAGATTCACCAGGGTTGAAATGAAGGAGAAAATGCTAAGGGCAGCCAGAGAGAAAGGTCGGGTTACCCACAAACAGAAGCCCATCAGACTCACAGCAGATCTCTCAGCAGAAACCCTACAAGCCAGAAGAGTGAGGGCCAATATTCAACATCCTTAAAGAAAAGAACTTTCAACCCAGAATTTCATATCCAGTGAAACTAAGCTTCATAAGTGAAGGAAAAATAAAATCCTTTGCGAACAAGCAAGTATTTCATCACCATCGGGCCTGCTTTACAAGAGCTCCTGAAAAAGGCACGAAACATAGAAAGGAACAACCAGTACAAGCTACTCCAAAAACATACCAAATGGTAAAAAGCATCAATGCAATGAAGAAACTGCATCAACTAACGGGCAAAACAGCCAGCTAGCATCAAAATGGCAGGATCAAATTCACAAATAACAATATTAACCCTAAATGTAAATGGGCTAAATGCCCCAATCAAAAGACACAGACTGGCAAATTGGATAAAGAGCCAAAACCATCAGTATGCTATATCCAGGAAACCCATCTCACATGCAAGGATACACAAAGGCTCAAAATAAAGGGATGGAGGAAGATATACCAAGCAAATGGAGAGCAAAAAAAAAGGAGTTGCAATTATTGTCTCTAATAAAATAGACTTTAAACCAACAAAGATCAAAAGAGACAAAGAAGGACATTACATAATGGTAAAAGGATCAATGCAAAAAGAAGAGCTAACAATCCTAAATATATATGCATCCAATACAGGAGCACCCAGATACATAAGGCAAGTTCTTAATGACTTACAAAGAGACTTAGACTCCCACACAATAATAATGGGAGACTTTAACACCCCATTGTCAATATTAGACAGATCAACGAGAAAGAAAATTAACAAGGATATCCAGGACTTGAACTCAGACCTGAACCAAGCAAACCTAATAGACATTTACAGAACTCTCCACCCCAAATCCACAGAATATACATTCTTCTCAGCATCACATCATACCTACTCTAAAACTGACCACATAATTGGAAGTAAATCACTCCTCAGCAAATGCAAAAGAACAGAAATCATAACAGTCTCTCAGACCACAGTGCAATC